TCGAATAGCTGCATGTGAAATTATCTCAAGTTATATCCTTTCTGTATTTAGAAAAATCATGAAGTCAGTTGAGGACATTTCGTATGAAGATCCAGTGGTACCGAATAGGGTCTCGATAATTCATTGGGAATTCGCGGAACATTTTCCTGGGAACACACTTACTGTAAGCACTACAATCAGAAGCGCAGTGTGTTAGAATATTAGTTCAGTAGGCGAACGAAAACCAGTTACTTTCCAAGCTCACAGCTGGCATCAAAATATGACGAAGTCCAGCTTGACATGAGTATCAACGATGAATGGCGAAGGAGAGTGCGATTCAAACTGGGGTGAGATGGCTGGCCACAAATGTTCTGCACACCGGGGGTTCACAGTGGCAAGCCTCTTGGTTCAAGTTTGAAAAAAAAACGATGATTGATGATATGTTTCACATAATAGTGCACGAAGGTCTATAAATTCCCTAGGCGATGAGACTGTCAGGTTGATGCCAAGTATAATAGTGCAGTTTTCCTAGAGGAAGTTACTCTTCGTAAAGCTACATTTCAAAGAGAATGTAGTTTCTTACGTCTCGACTTCTAAGTTTTCTATTCTTCATCCCACAACTTGTGACAACTGAAAGTATGAATTACATGTAACCGCAACCAAAGAGATCCGAAACAAAAATTTTAGTGCACGTGTTAATTGGCGTCCAATGTAAAAACAGTTAGCAAACATTTTCCTTATGTAACTTGGATGAAAAACGTTGGTAACCAAAACATGGTGAACGAGTCAGAACTATCGACAAATGGTCAATCTCATAAGCAACTATGTTGTATTTCAATCAACATATAGGCACCTGAGTGTGATAATTAGAAGCATTTGAATTGCAGTACGAACTAAGAATCCCAGAAATAATGCAATTGGATCAAGAAGTTGTTGTGTTTGAATGAATTAATGATTACTTTGTACTTGTTGAATGCCTGCTTTCGAATTCCAAATACAGTACATCCGTTCGTGCTTATCTTGTACTTCTTGATCTAATTGCGTCATTTCTGCGATTCTTAGTTCATACTGTAATTCAAATACTTCTAATCATCACATTGGCGTCGCGATGGAGCCAGTGATGAAATTGTTGGGTATACATCCAGATTTTTATGCTTTTGCGTATTACTTTGAAAGGTTCGAAATATGGACTATGACCATGGAAGATAATGAGGATGTTAACAATGTAGCACATTTCCGCATATTCATCGAAAAAGAAGCATACAGCTTATTAAGAACTCTGGCTTTACCGAGGAAAACTAATTTCGCTTCCTTATACAGATCTCAAGAAATGCGGGAAAGGAAGATTTCGTAAAATGATTCATGAGGATATAAAAAATTCCACTTCCTTACGTCATCCCAACCCAGTGCATACTCAAGGTTATGCAGATCATTCATTGAGGAGTTGTGATGCATTTCACAAAGATGGACACAAGTTTGGTCAATGTTTGTCCTGTGGCAGGTTCCACTATTTTAATTCATGTAAATTCCGTAATTCTAAGTGCTTTAAATATGGTGATATTGGACATATTCAGTCAGTTTGTAATACTACTGTCCATCTTGCTGCAACTAATATTAGGTCTTGTAATTCTGATTCTGTTAAGCTGAGTATTTATTTCATTGACAGCGCACATTCATGTGATGATTAGAAGTATTTGAATTATAGTATGAACTAAGAATCTCAAAAATGACGCAACTGGATCAAGAAGTACAAGATAAGCACGAACGAATGTACTGTATTTGGAATTCGAAAGCAGGCATTCAGCAACCACAATGGAATCATTAGTTCATTAAAACACCACAATAAGATATCAACATTCTTTAGGTGTTTGTGCTGTCACATCTTTAGATTTCTCTTGCCAACAATACTTATGTTCCGTCACTGTCATGCCAACTGTGCACGGTGTGATTATTTGACAAACCGTACTGCATATGTAATATTTGTATTATCAGAGTTAGGTTGTCGATTGTGCATATGTGTATGTCAAAACAGATCAGTCAAGTAGACTCACTTTTGGTTTACCCGGGCGTAATATTGTATAAGCTGAACTCGAATAACTTGATATGTTTTTCAAACAGTTTATGTATGGTATACTAACGATTTTCAGATCAACTAGAAACTGAAACAAATCTCAGCTGGAATAAATGCTCTTATTTTATCGTTTGCAGTGAGCGAATTTAGATAAAGAAATCCTCAGTTCATTCCTTAATCAATAATACTTACACTTGACACACATTCTGTATATAAATAATATGATATACGTTTATATGGTAGATATGACTATTTCGATAATACATATTATTATTACCCATAAAGTTTTGGAGACACTCTAGAGCGTGATCTGGATAGACTGGATGAAAAAGGATATTGGTCCACGTTCAGTTGATCAGTTTAGATTGTAGTGGCTGGTACCCGGTTCAGCCCACATGAGTTATTCTAGCATCCAGACAGACTTATCTGTTCATTCTTCTTGAATCAAATTCTGACACTTTCAATTATTCGCTTATTAACCTTGACCGTTTTTATATGATCATGTGTTAATCCCTTACTCTATTCACCAGATGCATGTAACCTATTTTGTCTGACTATAAATGTTCAGTCACATCTAGTTCAATAAAGTTGGTTCACACACTCTCTCCGATCTGCCTCGTCACCTTGTTTCTTATTCTGAATCTCCGTATGGATAAACAAATGCTCGAAATAAATTCCTCAAACGCCACCCGTATTCGGCTTCTAATAACAGCCGGCATTTCACTGTCCCGACAAAGTCGTATTTCCATACTAACTTCAGAGGAGAGCGACAAATTATGCTTAAAATAAATAATAGGAGTAAGATTATATTTGAAGTATTAAATGATTCAAACAGACGACTAAACTATGAAACTACTTACTGTTTGTCCACAATACATATAGATATGTATTTTCGTCTTGTAAATTGCACCCCATAGAGCACGTGAGCGTTGCCATAGTTAACTTGATACAGACCAAAACCAATTGCAATATCGAATTCCTGTTGGTGTCAGTAGTGGTTTTAAATATAAACATGCAAAGATTGCACTGCAGTGTATCTTTATTCCAATTGTCGTTCGCCGCATCCTTCCACTTGCTTAAAGTGACGGGCTAACTTTTCACTGGAACCTGTTAATGACGTATTAACGTGGCTAGTTTCCACGGTTAATAGATGTTCGTGAATTACATTATCCATGGTAGAGAAATGAAATCTTTTCGTTATTGCTTCTATGCACTCACTCAAAGAAGTCACAAAGTGAAGACGTCTATCTTTCAGAAGCAAATGAAATCGAAGCCACAGACATGCAACTATGGTATCTTATCCGCTAGTTCGTAGTTAATAGCAGGATATGAAATTGTATATAAATATTAAGTGATTTTACATATTCCTATGACGTAATAATACTAATCATAATCTCTCAATAGAACATCAACTTCTTTCACCACAAATAAACCAAAGAAAGGAGTGCAACGTAATATTAAGACAGTAGGATGCTAGACTCAGAAGTTCTCATGGCATGTCAACGTTAACTAAGCCTAATATGATGCTTATTAAGCACCTTGTTCTTGTCGTGTGCAGCTGTTATATCACATAGTGCAAACATTACCTCTTATCGAAAGGGTTGCTGTATTAGATCTACTCCTTTCAGTTGTTCAGACTAAAACTTAATTTTTTGTAGCATATATTACTATTATGTTGTGTATCTGTTCATGTGACGTACCGCTGACTGATGTGTTTATGTATCATAGCTGATTCAAACAGCGAGGAGAGTATTGGATATAAGTATTTATATTATCTGTTATTATTATTACTGATCTTCCGTTAATTAAACTAAACATTTATCACCTAAGACAACAATTATTGTGCGTTTATTATCTCAGTAGAAAATAGGAAAGTCACTGATCCCGTATTTTATAGTCCGAAACACAAGTCATTCTGATATCAACCAGGGTATTTTTCTTCGTCTTATTATCTGAAACACATCTTTCTTGTAACATACTTTGTTTTCTCTAATTGTATTTAGAGCAGTAGTTTTTGGACCTAGGTGAGTCAGAGTATGTATTTATTGAGCAATGCGAACTCAGTACAAATTACGTGTGTTCAGTAGTTAAGTCATTTTGGTTCAACTCTAGTAGACTGTAGCTATGAGGCGATTGATACACTTTATTTTATGATATTAGTTGTAGTTGTGCATCCACGCTTTTAGCAATCCACCGTAACGTTTTAAATCTGACATTTTCTGACTAAATCCAACTTAGCTTAACGTTCAATTCGTAATTAGACTGATTTTTACTGTAGATACTAATTTCCTTGACTAAAGTTTATTCCTACATTGTCGCAGTGAGCTACCTACACGCGATATTGTATATGATTACTGTCCCTTCAATGTAAATATACGCCACCCTGTTGTCTCTATGAGAAAGTAAGGCATCATTAAATGTCAGTTTTTATGATCTCGCGAATGCAATTTACCAAAATTATAAAAAGTACTTTGTATGAAAATGAATTATAACTGATCCAACGTTTTTCAATCCCGTTATATACCTTCCCTTCCTCCTCTCATCGAAACGTTGTAAAATAACCTTGTTCTGTTAGTCACAAAGTTTACTACATTTAGACGGAACAACTGAAGCACGGTCTGACTTGTTCGAAAGCGAAAACGACTTGTCATTCAATATAAGGAAATAAGGAGTTATACAGCCTGCATCCTAAACGATAAAGGCAAACATTGTCCAGTTTTCTACATACATTTAATGACGAACTTGTTTTAACATTCGTGTTTAAATGTGAACGTGCTGTTTCTACATTTCCTTGTTTTTTTCTGAAATGTCGTTCTGTTTTTATACAAACAACTCTATCGTATTCAGATTAACGTTAACCCTAATAAAGCCAAAGTTTTATCATTGATCATGCGGTTGTAGATGGCTTAACACAATGATTACGTTATGGAAATAAATTGCTCTGAGAAAAGAAAAACGATGGATTTATACGAAAGTCAGCGGTTTTATTAAAAGTACTAATAAGAAGTAGAATCCCAGGAAATAATATATCGGAAACGTTTTCTAGCTTAATCACACGGGAAATAGTGATTTAGCTAGATTTTATTATTCTTGAATAATGTATGGCAAAACTTAAACTGCCGATCGACTCAGTCACAACACGTCATCTAACATTACTCAGCAAATGAATTTCACATCGAACTATGCAAGCATTCATGTCATCTAGCAGTACCACCTATGTACCTTCATGTAACAGCCATAATTTTCGGATGGTATAACTGGAATGTGTTTTCTAAAAGAGTTGATAACAATTTATAGAACAGGAGAGATCATTTATTATACATTACGTATATAAGAATATATCATTCGTAGATAATTTTTGAAAAGAATGTGTAATCATGCTAAGAAGATTTTACAGATTATATATATAATGACGGATTATGGAGGGATAATGTGCAATAAAAACCAATGGAAATTATCCGTTAAATGAGACAAATAAATAAATAAACAAACGAACAAATACTCATGTGTTTTATATATAGAGAAGCACAAAAAATAATCATGGCAGATAACCGGAAGGATATTAACAATGTTATGTTAAAAGTTACTGTTTAACGATTATTTGGATTGTGATGACGAACATGACGAAGTATATCTTTTTTAGTCAATACACCAAGAGGACACCTAGATCGGGGGAGAAACACAGAAACGAACATATTGAAATACAATTCAAAACAGATAGTGTATATACGTATACAGTTTAATGAACGACTAGTCATGTAACTCAGCTTTTCACCATACTTCAACCAACCACTAGATATACTAACCTCCTGCAAAAGATGAAATCCAAATGCTCTTAAGTGATATATATTTTTCATGTTCGAAGGCACAGAACCAGGATAAATTGTTTAACGTCACAGAATGAGCTATGAATCTCAAAATGAACGAATTTTATTTACTGATAATGTTTTATTTTGTTTATTTGCATTTGCACTGGTAATGTAAAAGTGCATGTATGGAAATTCACAATAATCAAAACTTCATTTACATATTACATTCAGACTATTAGTTTCTAAGTAATACTGATTAACTTGAAAATAGTTTTCAACATAGAGTAATACTATAATGTGATGGTTAACGAAAGGCAATTTTAATATGATGGACGTGACTGTCAAGATTGGTGAATGGATCCAGATAGTACACCGAATATGAAACTATGTGGATTTAGGTTCTCAAACTTCCCAGAAATAAAATGTAGGGTGAGTGAAACAGAAAAAACATGGTAAAAATATAAGGCTATGAGTATAAAAACTAGGACGCATGAAGCTGGATAAAACCCTTCGATTTTTCGAGGTATGAAAAGGATGCACTTGTGAGATTACCATGGGTTTTCAGTCGTATCAAACACTTCCCTATTTGAACGTTCCTAACTTCAAGATTCAGAATAAAAGCAATTGCGTGATTGATACTTAGTATTAATCAAGTAATTCGAAGCTTCTAATTAATCTATATGAACACTATGCAGCACAATATATCGAGGAAGAATTTGGTTTTATCTGCATAACGCAATTTTATTGACCTCAGTCAGTGGATGTTAACTAGCTCACTGACTACTTGCATTAAGTTTGGCGTTCAGCATTATTTATTATTTATTACTGATTATCTAACTGCAGTCCCGACCGTAGCTGCTACCTTGACGTCGTGGTCAAGCATGCCTGTCGTGATGACCCAACCGAGCCATATTGGCTAAGACATATGTTTCTGTAGGTTCTACCATGCCATGCAGCTCGATTGGAGAACGGTAAGACTGAAAGCAGCAACTCAAGGTCTGAGGGTGAAGTCGTACTGCTGAATGTAGAGGGGTGTGACAGTAGTAAGGTGTTTCCCTCGGGCAACCAGCATCTGCAGCGATGCTGCCTTCTCACAAGGAAGGAAGGGGTTGGAAAACGTCGACCCTAAAAATGTCACACCTCACCTTACCTAACCGATTTTCGTCTCCAGTGGTAAAGTATTTCGAAGAACGGAGCTAAGACGTTAAAACGTTCTACAAAAAAAAGCCGAGCGTGTCCGGCCCCAAGTACTTGTCCCTTGGACTCTGTAGTCTCACTTTCAAGTCGTTAAGACCAACACTAATCCAACCTTCTTTTTCATGTTTCTCAAGAAATACCCTCCCACGAGGTAGGGCAGCCAGCAAGTGACATAAGCCCTCATACCCGTAGCAGCGCATGAGACCAAGTTGGTCACAATCAAATCCTCCATACACTTCCTAATAACTCTCTTATATTCACGACTAACCCTTCTCACGTTCTCTTATCACCTTGCGCCGCTAACGCAAACGATTCGAGTACGTAGAACGCTATTCCCGGTCTCTTAAAACCACGCTCTAAACTATATGTAGGAGCTTTTAACGTCCGAACACTGTGCCAAATAAGAGCACAGGCTTCCTTAACTAGTAATTTAGAATCTCGCGCCATCGATGTATGCCGCGTCTCCGAAACGCGCATACAGGGTCCATGTAGCGTCATAAATATGACCTCACCATATCAAAATAAAAAACCATCTCGATTCACGCCTCGTGTGTCTGGAAGCCTTGATGCTGCTTTCTGTGACTTCGTTGGTGCAGGTATAGCATTGAGTCCGACGGTAGAACTAGCTCTCTTAGACTGGATCGCAGTTGACAGTCTATTTTGCGCTATCCAATTAAACGGAACGGTAAGGACTCGGAAAGATAGGGACACTTGTCGTCTGCTTACTCTCCCACTGACTGCGGATCAAATAAGGTAAAAGGTGAGTTTCAGAGTAAGCTTTCTGACCTCCCCAAAAAAGTTAGGTGCTCCGATGTAGTAATAGTGGCTGGTGTTTTTAATGCTCAAGTAGGTAAACTAAGTAAAAAGGAAAGACACCTGGGTGGATCTTATAGTGTCGTGGCTCAAAGAACAGATAATGGCGACCGTCTGTTGCAGCTATGCTCAGATAACCACCTCTTTCTTGCAAACACTAACTTAGGCATAAGGAGAAACATCTTTTAACATGGAGACCCCCTAATTTGTCTCAACGTTGGACCCAAATAGATCACATCGCTATCAGCCACCGATAGAGGGGCTCGATAGACGACTGTCGCTCATTCTGGAGCACATGCTTAGATTCAGATCATGCTCTAGTACGAGCGCGTATCTGTCTGCGTCTTACTGGACGTAGAAAAGACTCTGCAAGTGAATCTCTTGGGATCCTACTTAATGATAGACAAGCTAAGAATATATTTCAGGAACAACTGGTAAAATAGTTAGGCAGCCATGCGATTGATGCCCACCACGAGGCAGAGTTCAATGATAGCTGAAAACCTGTGCAAACATTAGTGATATCTGCTAGTAAGGTAAATCATAAGGTTACGGAGAAACAATGGATCTCAGCAGCACCTAACTCGCTGATAGATGCTCGAAAACACATCCCATCTGGCTCTGAATATGATGAAGAGCAGAGTAAGCTTAAGCGCAGGTTGATAAGAAGCCTATGCAATGATCGCGAACAGTGGTGGGTAGCTAAAGCAAGAGAGATGGAAAAGGCAGTGACAGTAGACAGAAGCAGACAACTGTTCAGACTTGTCAAGGAAACCGCTATTAGGAATCCAACTGTTAGAGAAATTATCTCAGAAACAGATGGACATATTATTCATTCTCAATCCAGGAGATTGGATCGCTGAGAACACTTTAGGGATCAGTTCAACAGGCCTTCAGTCACACTTCAGTTTCCCAAGATCTCCAGTCGAACTAAAAAGAAAAGTTGATGTAAGTCCTCAAACTCTTTACAAAGCTGAAAAAGCTATATGACATCTGAAGCGTGGGAGAACAGCAGGTCCTGACAGATTTACGCCTGAGATTTTTAAGGATGGCGGTCCAGTTTCAGAAGAGAGATTGACTGAAGTCTTAGGTAGAATCAGGGAACTGGACGCAATCCCGTCTGACTGGACAAAAGTCCTCTTGTGACAATCACAGAGGAATCAGTTTGACTAATATAGTGTCTAAAATATTTGTTAAATAAAGAAGGAACGAATTGAGCGAAGAAATTTCTTTTCAATTAGTTTTTCATCATGGCTCTACACTAATATATATACGTTTTACAATAATAATATAATACTCATCGAGTGGATACGTTACGTAATAATTACATAATGACATTTAAATTAACATTGATTAATTGGAAGAAAGAGGATTATTAATATTCAAAGTGATCAAGAAGTTGCTAAGTTGCGTAATGTAAGAAACAAAGAAGGAACAGAATTTTAACGGATGGTCAATAGGATGGTAGTTACGTAAGAATCAAGAGATGAATGTTGAGAAGTTATTAAGTTCAAAAGCAACAGAAATAAAATTACAAAAGTTTTAAAAAAAAGGAAGAAGTATGAAAAATAGTTCTTTTGAAGGAAATCTTAAACTGATGGCCAGGGCAGGGAAAGTGGTTGTACGAATCTCTTTTGAATGCAAAGGTCAGGTTTGTGAACATGGATTGCGATGGCTTCCGCAATGTGCAAGAGGCGCACTCGTAAACCATGTGGCAAATTAGATGGGATATTGTAGATAACCTTAAAAGCTTTATTCAATTCGACTTGATGACCTGTGTCAACCAAGTGAGAGAGAATAGAACTTTTAATCACTTTTACCTGTCCTTTGTTTAACCACGACGGATGATGTTCAGTAATGCGATGACGGACTTGCCGAATTGTACGCCCAATATAACTGGCTCCACAGGAGCAGTTGAAACGATAGATACACATAGATTTGGCGAATTCAGGCAGTCTGTCTTTGTTGGCTGTTCTTATCTTAGGATAGTTGTAGAAGATTGCATTTAATCTGGCAGCATTAAATGTTTTTTGTACGGCTCTTCTTAGTTTCTGAGTCAAGGTTTCTTCAATGGTGTCATTTATGAATTGTAGTTTTATGAATAGTACCTTCTTATGGACGGTGGGTATCTTTGTCCTTGTTTTCTTCTCCATCATATGTTTGTCGATGAATTTCATGGGATACCCATTCATGCTAAGTAGGTTCCGAATATTATTCAATTCTTCTTCGATGGTGTCTTCAGAGCAAATCATTCTAGCCCGATGTGTCAAGATTTTTATCAAGTTCCTTTTGTATCTGATTGGAACTGCACTATAGAAATGAGTGTATTGTCCTGCTGCAGATTTTCTGTGTACCCCTCTTTTTAAAGTTCCGTCTGCTCTTCTTTTTAGTTGGACATCTAGAAATGATATGCTGTCGTTCTGTTCATCTTCTGATGTAAAATTAATTGATGGATGAACGTTATTAAATGTATTAAGTAAATTGTCCTTATCATTCTCTTTTTCTAGTACTATGAAGGTGTCGTCTATATAGCGATAATAAGTTGGTAAATGGCTAATTATGCTTTTAAGTGGTCCGTTTTCCAGTTTTGCAAGGAAAATATCAGCCAGTAGAGGGCCCAATGGTGATCCCATGGCAACTCCATCTAGCTGTCTATAGTATTCGTTGTCAAATCTGAATTGTGCATTCATTGTGCATCTGAGAATTAACTGTTTTATCGCGGATGCTGGAATCGGGGTTTCTATGCGTCTCTCTGTTAGTTCATTGCAAATAAAATCAACTGTTTCTTGTAGTGGAATGTTAGTGAATAAAGATGATACATCAAGTGATAACATGAAATTATTCTTGACTGATAGATTTTTTATGTTCTCAACAAATTCAAAGGAATCCTTGACACTATGCTTGACAATTTCTTTGTGTAATGGTTTAAGAATTTGCACCAACCATTTTGCTATAGTATGATACGCTGAGTTATTCATATCTAAAACTGGTCGAAGGGGTAATAATACTTCGACGCCTAACCAAAGCTTGTGAAGAACAGACTAGAGAAAAGCAGGTTGGTTTTCAACCTGAACTTGATTGTATAGACCAGATATTCACACTACGTCAGGTTCTAGAACATAGACACACATTCAGAAGCCCCACAATGGTAGTATTTCTCGACGTTAAGGCGGCATTTGACTCTGTTGATCGTGAGGTTCTATGGCACTGTTTGTCACTGAAAGGAGTACCAAAGAAGCACATTAACCTTGTAAAGACTCTCTACTCGAATACAACTAGCCGAGTGAGAGCTTATGACGAACTGTCATCAGAATTGATTACCTCAAGTGGTGTTCGTCAGGGCTGCCCACTCTCTCCATTCTTGTTTAACTTGTCGCTGACGTGCTTTTAGAGATAACAGTTTCCTCATCCAAATTTCCAGTTCAACTTTTACCGGGAGGTTCACTTGTTGACTTAGAATATGCCGATGACATAGTTCTATTTGGTGAAGACGCTGACAAAATACAGAGTCTTCTGACTACCGTACACAACAATGCAAGCTATGTTTGGGATGCAATTCTCCCCCACGAAATGCAAAATATTGCTTCAGGATTGGGTTGCATCGGCACTTGAACCAATGATAGGGAGTGAAGTAGTTGAGCGTGTCAACCGCTTCACTTATCTTAGGAGTTTCATCAGCCCTAGTGGTTTGGTATGTAACGAAATTTCAGCACGATACACAAGCCTTAACTAGCTTTTGCCAACTTGCGTCATTTATGCCGGTAAGAGTAGAGGATGTTCGTAGCTTACTAGTATTCGATCGTAGGTGTCTTCGAAGCATTGCTCGTATTTCCTGGGACCACTGAGTAAGTAATTCAGTTGTTAGGAAACGGGTACTAGGTAAGGATGGCAAATCAATTGATGAAGTAGTGAAACGTCATCAGTTGAGATGGTTGGGACATTTGTGACGTATATCCAACCACCGACTGCCCCGACGAGCGATATTTTCTGGTGTAGGATTAGGTTGGAAGAGAACTAGGGGCTGTCAGACCAAAACATGGCACAAATCCATGAAGTCACTGAAAAATGGACTCACCCATGTTGGTAGGTGTAAAATATGTGATTGCGATCCGCGAGACGATAGCAACCGATGGTTAGAGACCTTGAATGTCATGACTCAAAGTCCTTTGCAAAGGCGCAGGTGCATCCACTCCTTTTGTTCTCCCAAATTCTAATCTTCTGAATCCTTCATGTCCCTTTCTTTTTTCTCTTTCCAAATTTATTTCACTGGATTATACTCCTTGAATAACATCTTCAAACCTTAATCTTTCCGATTACTGCTTACACTTTTACTACCTCCACCACTATGAGATTTGAATCGACAACTGCATCTCTGTGCTAATGTGGTATGGCAACTCGAACTGATGTATGTAAATACGAAGTTCTACGTTGTTACTGACTGACTGACTGACTGTTCATCAGGATTTGCCACTTCCATTTTTATTTAACCCGGTAAAAGATAATCGATCGGAGATAACAATCTTATTGTCTGACTCATCAGAAGTCGATCGCCTACCAGGAAATTCTCTTGTTGACTTGAAATACACAGATGACATAGTTTGTTTACTAAAGACACTGACAAAATGCAGTCTTCTGAACACCTCAAGCGTAAATCCAAGCATGTTTGGGATATATTTCTCTCCATCAAAATGTGAAATGTTACTTAAGAAAATGGTTGATGTCAACCCCAGAACAAATGATATAGCGTGAAGCAGTTGAGTGTTTTGATCACTCCACTTATCTTAGAAGTCTCATCAGTCTCTGACAAAATCCCTACATAGTTTCAAAAGGCTTGACAGACTTTTGCCAACTTGCGTCACTTGTAGCGTAGGCAAGATATTAATCTACCAACTGAAGGACGAGTTTACTGCTCAGTATTTTGTTCCGTTCACCTTTATGGCTATCAAACGTGGCCTTTGAAAGTAGAGGATATCCGTAGGTCACTTCTATTCGATAATATTTGCCTTTAAACCACTGCTCGTACACTTTGAGACCATTGAGCTTCATCAGTTGAACTAAGTTATAACTCGCCAATAATTACAAATACACATATTTTTCTGTATATTTTTAATTCTCACTCTACAAACACTTCATCTGTCTTCTAATTTTGGACTATGAGGGTTCTACACGTTTGAGTGCTGTTAGTTGTATATCGTGTACTGCGTTAATCAAGTAGAAGGTGTAACAGAAACGAAATGCCAAAACTTATAAAAGCAGATCATTACGTTTTGCTGATCAGCTTTGTTTCAACTTAACTATATCCTAGGTAACTATAATAAATGTTAATGTCATATGAAATTCGCTCTCGCGTCGTGAATTTTACCGACACGAAACGCAACAAACTAAGTAGACATAAATAGTAGGAACGATAATAAAGATAATTAAACAGTTTTTTACAAGTCTACCACTACTACTGCTGAATGAAGTATTTGGCAATTACTAAAAATTTGATTACACTTAGTAAACAAAACAAAAACGTTTACTAACCCATTACGTGTAACAATGATTTGTCGGAGGCCTAACTTTTTAAAGAAATCCAAAACTGTTTCCATCGGTGTATGATCCGATACTGTTGTAGGAGACTAAATGGTAAAAGGACACAGAAATCGCCAATAACAGTGAGTTAGAACACAATTAAACGGTTTGAAATTAGAATAAGTTACAAATGATACACACTGCCTGGACCAAAACACCAAAAGTAAAAAACAAAGATAAATTGTACAAAGAGTTTACTGTAGACAATTAATCATAATTGAAGCATGTGTGTATTTTTACAGGTAGTGATATATACAACCGTGATCGTTTTTGGTTAAATGAGTAAAATGTCGACTTTTCATAGCCGGTCCAGGCTGGTAATCGATTTATTAGCTTATCACATAGTTTCCTGAACCCTGTCTGTTTAGCTTGATTCACTGTACAAGACATTAAAAAAGGAGAAATATGGTGGTAGGATCTTGTATTGCAAAACAACAGTCAGAATCGATCATGGAGATATTTAACAGGAAAAACTGAATTACCAACTGTTCATCTACACTTTATAAAACATCTACAGTCAATAAACAAATATAAATAATTTTGACACAGGGGAACGCGAGTTTATAAATACATACGATAATTTAGACCAGTAAATAATAAAATGACTCCTGGAACACGTTTCTCTTAAAATAATAAAGAAAAAACACTATCATTAAATAGGACGTTAAGGTCACCATGAAACGGTTTTACTGTTATTTGGAAAACTGATAAACCAATAAACATATCGTAAACTATGGAGTTAATAATAGCAACAACAATAACTATAATTTATTACGGGATATTAGATTACAAAACGTACCAAATCAACAATATTTTGTAAGTTGACAGGTGTCAATTCCTGATTATCATCTGCATATACTTCCTGAAATGTGGCAAAATGAACTGGCGAATCATCGACAATATTTGAATCATATTTTCTTTCACGATCTATTCATTATATAGATAATAAACAGGTAAAACCAATATTTATCTATGGTAAACAGAACCACTGAGATGAGCATATAATAAAAACTGTTTCTCAATCAAGTTCCATGACAGAAATGAGTAAACAAAAATACAGACAAGTAGAACAACGTAAAAACTATCCACCCACCTAACCATCCCGAAAAGTAAGCAATTGGTGTTTTATAATTGATTTGCAAGTAAAATTAGTCAAAGGGATAATAGATGATAATGACTATTCACAACTAGATTTTAATCATCATACACTGTTTTACTGACTGAGATACACAAGACACTTTAAACAAACTGATGTTTTCGAGATAGGTATCTACTACAATCAATAGAATTATTCAATGAAGAATTATTTAAGTAATGACGTTGATTGGCTGGAGGTAGAAGGAAGGAAACATGAGATCTAGTTTCTAAGTCAGTTTAGCACTCGTTAGCAAAGTGCCGCTGCAAACATGAGGGGGATAATGTATCTCTTGAGGTGTATGTTATGTTACCGCAACTAAACTCTTGTAGCACTACGATATTTACAAACGAAATGGGAGTCGAAACCGCATCCTTACGAATACATTCATTCAGTTAACATCAAAAATTAGTATTTGAATGACTTAATTCTGACTGAATTGTTTCTGAAAGTTTCACGACTAAGCCATCCAGCTGAGAGAACGAAAGACCATCAAAATCATCCATCCGAGTTACAAGTATTCATTAACTCATATTGTAAGTTGTAACTATCAACAGTCATCAGTTATATAAATATCTGACGAAAGATTCAAAAGATAAGTATTTATTAAATACAAAACGTTATTTGAGGTTAATGTGGACCAACATTTAATTAATTCTGTAATCAACATTCACTTCTGACAAAAATAGTTTACACAATAAATCAATTACATCAATCAATCTACAAACATTTAGGTAATCGAAAAGATTTTTAATTAAAATTGGTTTAGAAAAATCTCACATAGGAATTCTACTTGTACTTACTGAACATAATAACGTTTACCTATCAACGTATATAAGTAGATATCAACAAGTCACAAGCAAAATACTTTATAATAATTCAATGATAGTTTTCTAATAGCTTACCCAAAGCCCAATGTAACTCTCTTCTTGAAACCCATCCAACTAGGTATGGGGAATCTTGTGAAACAACAACAGGAAATCCTTTAACATCACATCTACTAACCAATTGGTCTAGATCACCAACTGTCATATCATATTGTGTAACAACAAATAGAGGGGAATTAGAATCTCTGAAAAAAACAGATGGAGACATTATAGACAATAACGAGAAAGGAAAAAGGAATAAGACAAGTCAATTAATTGACGTTATCAATAACGAAATCGTATTGAAAATGTATGCATATAGACGTGTTGCAACTTCCCGAATACAACAGAAAAGTCTAATTTCAAAAACAAAATTTATGAGCAAATCAGGCGACATGATGACTGATTACATATCCAATGGAGATAACATTAAGATTAGCAAAGTGGCCTATCGATAAGAGGAAATCTACAATCAAACAACGTCTTCTATGTTAGAGCTATATTGTACCTACTTCAGTTTGAACAATCATTGAAATATCATTAGTTCTCAAGAAATATGTTTACTTTGAGACCATGCGCACAAACGTGTACTTAATTGCTAAGTTGCACAGCTGTTTATTACTTACTTAGGCCTGTTAACCCTCGTGTAGGAGGTTAGGCCGCTCACCAGGATTCGCCATCCAACTCTCTCCTGGACAATCCTTTTCAGTGCTTTACAGTTGCTACCCATCATTTACATGTTTGCTTCCGATTTCCAGTATAGTGCGTTCTTTGGTCTTCCTCCTTTCTGTTTATCTTCAAAATTCGAAGTTGACGTTTGCCCCATGATGCAGTTTGATAGCTTCCATAATGTATGTTCTATCCACTTTCAACGTCTTTTCCTAATGCGTCTGTCAACTGTCTATTATGCACGACTTCGTAGTGCAGTCCGTCGCATGAATTCCAGATGACGTTGACGATTTTCTCATGTACTCCATGATGTCGAAGAAGTTTCCATAATATTTTCCCATCCACATTGTCAAATGCTTTTTATAGTCAAGGAAGTGTGATGTCTCTGTAGGTGAGTTATCACACTTGCTCAGTTCTCTTTTTCTTGGTATCTTGATGAGGTATCTTTCTTTCCAATCTGTCAGTACTTTTTTTCTCCCATATATTCCTAAATAAAATGCGGAGCATGTTTGCAGTTACCTCTGTGTCTAACTTAAGTGCTTTAGTTGATGTATTGTCAGGTCCTAATGCTTTCACACTGTAAGGATTGGAGCCAATATCTGAGAGCTATCTTGAATTGGTTGAGTTTGTGAGTATCTTGAATGAAGACTGCATTGAACTATTGTAATGCTGTTTCACCGGCTGCCCACTATTTCTTTAGTTTCAGTTTCATGTTGGCAATCACCAGATGGTGGTAATCTGACTGTGTCAGCTCCTCTCATCACCTAGTTGTCACGTCTTTCACTGACCCTCTGGATTTATCACTAATGTAAATATGATCGGTGTGGTTCTGTGTAGTGTGATCCGGTGAGACCTAAGTAGGTTCGTGTATGCGTTTGTGTGGAAATATACTGCCAAAAATAAGCAATTTGTTGAATGCACATAGATTTACAAATCTGTCACCATTCCCATCCTTTTCTCCCAGTCAATCCATGTTGTCCCATGATATCTTCGTACTTGATGTTGTCTATTCCGACCTTGGCGTTTAGGTCTCCCATTAGGATGGTGACACCCTTTATTGGGAACTTCTCTGTGATTGATTGCAACCTCTCATAGAACTGATCTCTATTGTCGCCATTGCTATCATTGGTGGGTGCATAACATTGGATAACGTTCATTGTGATCTCTTCCTTCTTTGTTTTGAATGATGCGCTGACGATTCTGAGTCCACAAGATTTCCATCCTATCAGTGCTTCATAGATTTCTTTGTACAGCATCAGAGTAACACCCTGAGTGTGTGGGGTATTTTCCTCTTCGTGACCTGAATACAACAGCATCTCTCCCGTATCTAGCCTTTTCTGTCCAATGGTTTTCACTGTTTCTGAGCAGCGCCTAGTTGTGTCTTATCATTTCCGTAGCTGTTTGACTGGTTCTCCTGGTTTTTCAGTGTCCGGACATTCCGTGTATTTATATTAATTGTTGCTCTGGTTTTTAGAAGTGGCATCGACTTCGTGACTTCCGAAAAATCTGGGCTTTCATCACGAGGCGTCATAATTCTTCTAGATGAAGGTCCTTGAACTCTCATGTCAGAGTTTAGATCATTTGGATGATCGTACTCTGGTGGACGTTTTATAGCAAGTTTTTTTCTGCTGGATAGGCTTGCCGACTCCATGTACGACCCTTCTCCTTTGTGTGGGACTGTCGGTAACTCTATAATAGCTACAAGCGGAGTCTTACGAAATTTGAGTGACTTATTATTATACTACTACAATGAAATAAATTCAATATGTTTTGACATTAGGAAATCAGCTAGTTATCACAAGTAATTGTTAATAGAGTTATTGGTTGACGGGATTTGAATGGCGTTGCTCCGAATATACCATGTAAGCGTCACCTACTTTATTTGAAATTTCAGATTCACTTTATTAATTATTACAACAATCAATAAATTTAACGAAGTGGGGACTTTTGTATTTAACCATCCAATTTACATACTTGGAACAGCATTAATACTTTAAAGAACATTTTAACCTGTACAAAAAATAACTATCAATAAGTTTAATGAAAATTGTAATACTTGGCTTATTCATTTTTGATATTATGAACCAGTTCCAGTTACACCTCAACTGGGAACCAAGGAGGTACTGCACAGCTATTTCATTCTAGTATGGGACTCTTCATCTGTGCGTATCCATGACTCCATCAAAATGGATTGAACCTAAGACCTTCGCTCTTACGTGAGAACGCTTAATCTTGAAACTAACGAACTGATATCCAATTGCGTTTGTCAAACTTCAACCAAATATTCATTGTTTATTATTTTTCCAGAAAGAATGATGTGATAATTAAGAGTATTTGAATTATAGCACAAACTAAGAATACCAGAAATAACGCAATTGGATTAGGAAGTACTAGATAGACACAAACCAATGTACTGTATTTTGAATTCAACCAGTAAAAAGGAATCATTATTTCATACAAATACCACAGATGAATATTAACGAAACTCAACAAATAATTCAATTAATTTATAACAATAAATATTGTAATAAGGCCGTCATTGATACCACAGAATGGAGATAACTGACAAACAAAAAAGAACGATAAATGCTAACTCATTAAAGAGGAATAATATATATTATCGAATATATATATTCGACCACCATTAGCTTCCATCCAACCTACTATAAGGTAAGTTAGTGTTGAGTATAGTTATGTATAACTTGTACACATTTGAACTAGGTCTTAAGTTGTTTATGTCTGTTTCATGTTTATAAACTGAACAACACAAATTAGTTCCAAATGTTTTAGCCAGGGTGATGAATGAAATTCCTTACGGAGTCAAATAGAAAAAAAGGAGATAAAAACAGAAGACTGACGAAGACATTGTACAATTAAAGGTATTCTAACACGTAAACTTAATTATACATTGAATAATAATAATCTACTTCAGTTAGTCTAAATTCAATAAAATATGCATACACTAGTCATGACTAGTAAATCTCATTAACATAAAAAAAATCCTGAATGAACAACAACAAAATACAACTATCAATCAATCTTATCAAATAATAACATGATTTATAGACACGTTTACAATAAAGTATTTTCCAATATTTTCAATACATTTATAAAATATAGACGATTATAATCATTCAAAATGATTAGTAAATTCGGCGAGATTATAATTTATGAACGGACCAATCAGATATAAGATAACAGGTATGGGATTTTGGCGTGAAGTTCAGTCATCCGTTTGGTTAAATAGCGTTTTGGCATTTTAGCTGATGTCGGTTCGTGATAAAAACCCCAAGTCTCATTCCTAACCCTAACCATTACCTATAAATCCTAATGATAATTCGCCATACTGGTTTATAATCGTCAATTACTTTTGGTTAGTAGGTGAACATTCTCAAGGTCAATTTAGCGTCGATCAATGGTCGTCCATAAATTATGGTCTCACCGTAAATTCAACAAATGAATAAATTATGATGGCCGATTTAATCAGTTATTCTTATTGAACCTAATAAATCTTTAAATCAAGAGTATTGACTGTTTTATCGAGAACAAACAAAGTTACAAGGAAGATACCTAAGTTAATTATTTCCATTAGTTGATGAGAGAATTATTCGACACTAAACATTCAGTATTAATCTATACCGTTACATCAATCCAATTCAATAAAAATTTCACCTGATAAATGAATTGAATAATTAATTAAACAAAAGATTACTTACACACGTCCTTAATTGTAACTCTATTATTAATAAAATCATCTTTACAGTAAGTGAATTTTCAACTGCATTCAGAATCCTAATTATTTATTAAACGTCACTCATCTATCTAAGTAAAAATTCGTTTAAGCCATAGTTTGTGTGTACGGGCTAGTGATACTATCCAGATACGCCTCCCTTCCATGGAACTGTAGTACATACAGCGGAACTTGAAACTAACACTTAGTAATTCAAAGTCGAACACCCACTCTTCACACTACTCCATGACATCTAGCCACAATCAAAATATTATCATCAAGTTATGAGTTACAAATAAAGAACAATAAAAATTCTTTGAAAAGTAAAACTGTATACTCACCTACGTGGATGCATTACATCAGCTGCTACTAATGTATTATCTAATTCATCATACGATCCAAGATATGGATAATCATTTAATCGTATATGCTCTTCGTAAATACTACCATTTGTTAATCGATCACCAGTCCATTTACTAACCATAGCTGCAATCATTAATGGAATTATATAATTTAAACTAAAAATGGTATTTGTTTTTTTTTTAATAAAAAAAGAAAAAGGAAAACGTACATAATTATTGTTAATCACAAGATACACAATAGACAATAATGAATAAAACGTTGTAACAATAAGAATGATGATGAAGCGAAATCCAGTTTCTTCCTGTTGTACACGTCATTAAAATATTTGTTCAAACTTTCAAAATCACTCTCATAATGACAATAATCAATAATCTTAAACACAGTAGGTAGAGAAAAAAAGTCAGTATACTTTCTTTTTAGTAACAAGTACAACAGTGACAGCCCCACAAAGTATTGAAACAAACAATCTAGGAGTAAGTTTAAAATTCACCATCTCGAATTATGAAAATCTGTTATATTTAATATGATAAGGTAAACGAGCAAAAAGAAGTCAATATGAAAACTATAGTGATGTAAAATACAACAATTTAAACCGTTATGCAATAAACACAGGTTGCTTATTGTTTCTAACTGCCTACTCAAATAATTCTCATGAATATGTAATGAAACGAAACAATGCCTTGGATGACATATAAAAAGATAATATACTGTATATAGTTTGCAAATTTCTTCTAACCAACTAATTGAAAGTAAACTGAAATGAGAAACTAACTAACTGAATACTAATGCACTTGTTCATCATCAACTATGAACAATATTAAACTTTCTGAACACTTGTAAATTTCTATGATACAATATTTTCAATCAGAGAATAAGTATGTTGTGGGAAATAGATTTCCATCTATATTTTTAAACTTATGCTTCATTCTAAATAAGAATAAGGAGATATAAATAAATTTAATGACCCTGAAAAAATTCTGCAGCATGATGTTCTGCTTTCATGATCAGATAGTAACTGAGATAATTAATTTGTACAAAACTTTTAAAAAAAGGAAGAATGAAAATGAAAAAAATGAGACATGTTATCTCTATCCTATGGGTAAGTTAATCAAATAATTGATACAGATTAATCAATGAAAAAAATAGAAGAATCCGATTACATTGATTGATGCAATATGCTTCGAAATTATTTGGTTAAGAGTAGTCAACAGGAATGCTTGAATCTAGGTTTCGCATAGGTAGATATGCATCAGCTACCCGTATCTACATTCATGAAGGAAGTGATGCTTTATGTGGAATCGTTTGTTTGTTATCTTGAATGGATGTGAATTTTAAAATACCACAACGACCAATACATTAAAACGCAGGGTATCTTTGATTAAGTGTCATCTTATATAATTTAATATTAGCAGAGAGAACATCTAAAAGGAAGGATGTTTACGGATCTTGTTTAATTTGAAGTGTGTTGTCAACACAAATTAACATCAGTAAAAAACTGATTCGTTTTAGTTTAAAACACTCATAATTCATCAAGGGACTAAACCCATGTGACATGATACTGGATGTTGGCAGCATATTATAATTTGGTATGATGTTGATTACTGTTGTTAGTGGTGCGGCTATTTCCTATAACTGTGGAATAGCTGCTGCTTACTACGACGGACAAGACTGTTATGCCATCGCAAGGAGACTGTAGGTGAAAAAATTTTTATTCAATAACTGCTAATTAAAACAACATCAAAAAGATAACAATGAAATATATAACGTTTTAAATATTCAGTCAATTGGTAACTTTGAATGTCTTGAGCGAGCAGTAGTCGACATTGGGTGAGAATAATTCGATGTGTTTATATAATTTACAAAACCAATAAATTAATTGTCTTAGCTAAGAGATACAACTCATCACTGAATCATGTATTTGTTTTCTTCTTAACACGGAACAATTTGGTTTTCTTATGTTTTATTGATATTGAAATAAGTTTTCCGTTCGACTGATATAAAAGAGCTACATGCTTTTGATATTATTCGACATTTGCCTTTTGTGTATTACCTGTTATTCTCTACTATTCCTCGTTTTGTAGTTTTGAGGAGAGTGTTGAAAGCAGTTGGTAAAGATAGATATTTAAAACCTTTCAAACTTCTGAAAGTGTTGTCTTATCACATACAAACCACCAACTCCATTCACGTCTTTCTCCTTGTGTATTTTCTGGTGTAATTCCGACTGGAGCCTTTCCTGGGGCTCCTGACGGGCCCAGGCCTGGATAAAGGAGGAGGGTTGGTCATGGGAATAGCCACCCCATCTCGTAGAAGACTAACTCACTAAAAAACGCCAACCAAAAAAAAACTATTCAAACCATTTAAGCTCTGTCTTGGGAGTTAGAAGGTCTTCATTTAGAAGAGTTATGACGCCTCGTGATGAAAGCCGAGTTCCTTCGGAAGTCATGAGGCCGATGCCCCTTCTGACAAACAGAACAACCATTTATTTAGGTACATGGAATACTCGTACAACGTGGTAGACCGTGAGAGTGTTCTTAGTTGCTGCAGAAACGAGGAGATACAACCTGGAGGTGCTTGCGATAAGTGAAACATCTTAGACTCAAGTTGGACAACAACGACTAGCTTCAGGGGAGCTTCTGTTATACTCCAGTAATGAAGAAGAAAATGCCCAACATACGCAAGGAGTTGCATCGACGTATCCAAACAAGCACAAAATGCACTTAAGGGATGGGAATCTCATGGACCGAAGATCATCAAATCCTCGTTCTAAACTAAGAAAGAGGGCATTTCAATGAACATCATCCAATGCTATGCGCCTACCAACGACTACAATAAAGACGCTAAAGATCAATTCTACAATAGGCTGCAGTTAATCGTCGAAACTTAAAAAGCACTGGACAACGTGGCAGACAATATCACAAAAGTTCAATATGGCCTTTCATCAGGATACTGATAAACTCAATGAATTCATGATATCCCTCAGTAATAGGTTCCAGGCCTTACAGGATCTATTGAAAGAAGAAGAAACTACTATGGAGGACAACTGGAAAAGTATCAAAGAAGCGTTAACTTCAACATGTCAGGAGGTTCTGGGCGTCAAGAAGCATCATCATAAGGAATGGATCTCTATAGAAACACTGGAAAGGATCAAAGAAAGGAAGAACAAGAAGACAGCAATTAACAACAGCCGAACAAGAGCAGAGAAAGTCAAGGCACAAGCTGAGTACATAGAAGCAAACAAGCAAGTGAAAGCGAGCATTAGAGCCGACAAGCAGAAATACGTGGAAGAACTAGCAACGACGACGGAAAAAGCTGAAAGAGAAGGAGACATGAAACAACTGTATGACACATTAAAGAAACTCGCTGGGAATTAACGTAAACGAGAACGATCAGTGAAAAGTAAGGAAGGCAATATTGAAGAACAACAAAACAGGTGGGTAGAGCACTTCAAAGAAATCTTGAATCGACTAGCCCCACTGAACCCACCCAACATCGAAGCAACACACACAGACCTCCCAGTCAATATTGGCACACCAACAATTAAAGAGATCAGCATGGCCATCATCAAATAAGAGTGGAAAAGCATAAGTATCAGACAACATTTCAGCAGAGGCACCGAAAGCGGACGTAGCATTAACTGCAATATTACTCCACATTATCTTCAGCAAGATTTGGGATGAAGAGGAAGCACCAACAGATTGGAAAGAAAAACTTTCGATCAAGATACCAAAGAAAGGCGATCTCAGCAAGTGTGATAACTATAGGGGCACAACTCTTCTCTCAATACCGGGAAAAGTCTTCAACAGGGTATTATTAAACAGAGTGAAGGACTCTGAAAACGCCCAACTTCGAGATCAACAGGCAGGATTCCGTAAGGTTAGATCGTGTACAGACCAAATCGCAACACTACGGATCATTGTGGAACAATCAACTGAATGGAATTCATCACTCTACATCAACTTCATTGACTACGAAAGAGCATGTGATAGCGTGGACAGGACAAAACTATGGAAGCTTCTTAGACACTACGGCGTGCCTCAGAAGATAGTCAATATCATACAGAACTCTTATGATGGATTACACTGCAAAATCGTGCATGGAGGACAGTTGACAAAGTCGTTCGAAGTGAAGACCGGTGTCAGGCAAGGTTGCTTACTCTCACCCTTTCTCTTTCTCCTGGTGATCGACTGGGTCATGAAGACGTCAACATCTGAGGGAAGCATGGGATACAGTGGACAGCTAGGAGGAAGGTGGACAATCTAGACTTACCAGATGATCTGACTCTTCTATCGCAAACGCAACAACAAATGCAGAAGACGACCAGTGTAGCAGCAACCTCAACAGGAGTAGGTCTCAATATACACAAAGAGAAGAGCAGGATTCTCCGATACAACACAGAATGCACCAATCCAATCACAATTGACGGAGAAGATTTGGAAGATGTAAAAACCTTTACATATTTGGGCAGCATCATTGATGAACAGGGTGGATCTGATGCAGATGTGAAAGCGCGGATCGGCAAAGCAGGAGCAGCATATTTACAGCTGAAGAACATCTGGAACTCAAAATAATTGTCAACCAATACCAAAGTCAAGATTTTCAATACAAATGTCAAGACAGTTCTACTGTATGGGGGAGAAACCTGGAGAACTACGAAAGCCATCATCCAGAAGACACAGGTGTTTATTAACAGTTGTCTACGCAAAATACTCCGGATCCGTTGGCCAGACACTATTAGCAATAACCAACTGTGGGAAAGAACAAACCAGATTTCAGTGGTGGAAGAAATCAGAAAGAAGCGCTGGAAGTGGATGGGACACACATTGAGGAAAGCATCCAACTGCGTCACAAGGCAAGTCCTCACTTGGAATGCTCAAGGCCAAAGAGCACATTACGCAGAAAAACGGAGACAGACATGAGAAGAATGAACAAAAATAAGATAGGACTAGAAGGGAAGATCCAGGACAGAGTGGGTCGGAGAGTGCTGGTTGGCGGCCTATGCTCCTTCACGAGAAGTGACAGGCGTAAGTAAGATACTCTTATCATCTTGAAAACATTTCATTGAATTCCAGATATTTATATATATATATATATATATATATATATATATATATATCGATGGTTCTTTTTTCTTAAAATAACTTAATGAAATATTTTGTACTAAGAATTCCATACTGCGCTAATCATATAATACTGGATAAAACCATTGACAATCACAATAGTGTCGCAAATCGACTAAAGTCGGACACATAGATCACTGGATTCTGATATGGTTGTCTAGAAGTAACATGTTGGTCGCAAAAACCCGCAAGTCACAAGTTCCATTCTTCCGGTGAGATTATAAGAGGACACTATCACTGAGGAGAATTAATGAAGAATAAAAAGCTTCTATTCAACACCTAATAGTTTTCGTTCATTCACCAACTGATATCAACTTCTGATGATAACAACTTTTGAACTAAAGATTGACTTAGTATAATTTATAGTGAAGAAAAAGCCATGTTTACACATCAAAAGTGACATCAATTTGTGTTTTATGTGAAGTACAATTGACTAGATACTGTTAAACTTCCTATTGAAATCCTTGCTCTCAGTCTAAATAAAATTGGTTAATACAATGAAAATTATGAACACCATAGAGAACAAACTTATCAGATAGCATTGTTGATGAATCCAAAATCAGTGGAATACGTTTTCAATTAAAATTAGTACCAGAATTAATCAGACTTTAGAAAAATACGGAAATCTCTACAAAACTAACTAATTTCTCATAATTAATTACCAAACCCTACGAATAGAATAACAATAAAGAACATTACATGGAATGACACAATAAACCAATTAAATTTCTATAACTTTTATGCGATTGTGTCAAGAAGAAAACAATTGACTAATTATATATCTTATTTGAAACAGTTAAGTTATGGATTTTTTTAATCGTATGCATAGAATGAACTATTGATTGAGTAACACCAACACCAGTGCCAGTTCAATACTCATGACATACATGTCAGTATAATTGTATATATCGTTTTAACCAGTCATGAATTATTGGATCAATCTTACTATTCTTATTTGCAGTCATTAATATCAGTCTTTATTTCATTAAAGTAAGTAAGAAAGTAACAGATATCAGCATTTCGACAAATAATAACAATAAAACTAACAAAATAGTAACAGTAAATTTACCCGCCAGTTAACTCAAGCATAACTACAACTAATGATATAGTCATTCTAGTCACACCACCAAGAGTAGCCGCTGCTCCAACCATAGCATAAAGTCCCGGATTAATACACGGTTGAGATGATTTACACATTTTAACAATAAATGGATGTGATGCATATGCTACAACAAGTTGTTCAGTAGCTATACCCAACATACGACCCATTATTGCACCAGCCTGAATTATATTAAAAGAGAAAAATTAAATTGAAATTAAACAATTTGAAGAAAAAAGAAAACAATAAGCCACGATTCACCTCATTACACAAACTAAACTTGAAATAAAGTTTAAGGTTTACAAGCATTATAAGCAAAGATGGATAGTGGCTAGCGGTGGAATCCAGGACATACGCACAGTATGCACATATGCCAATAAGAGACTCATCAATTTCAGTCCTAAAACATCAATGGGAAGATTCAAGTAAAATAATACCAATTAAAGTTTAAGGTTTATTCATAGGACGGTGGTTGTATGGAAATCAATTACTAAGTCATCTAGGAACTTGCTGGATCCGTAATTGAGACAATTCTAAGATCATTAACTTAGATTTAGCAAGTAAAAAGCAATGCATTTTTACCAGTAACTGCCAGAAAAATGGCCAAAACAAGGAAAACGTACTGCTAACGATGGAATAAATAAACCAGTCGGTACTTTGATACCAAATGTGAAAACAGTTAGAATAAGTTTTAAAATCAATGCGATTGCCAACAATACCATTGCTGTAGACAATGATGGTCCGGCAGGATAATTCTGATATACTTTAGTCATTGGATTGCTTGTATTATAGTGATAATCACTGAAGAAAAGAGGGAGAAAAAACAAAAGATGGAGATTGTAAGCAGAATTTCGATTATATCATGATATAAAAAATGATTATTTATTCTAAAGCAAATGAAAAATAAGTACATGAGAAATTGACATGATATGTAAATAATAATCTGGATTATTCACTTGGTACATGTTTTGTGTACTTAGTTTGGAGACATCGGATGAGGCCAGTTGTAATAGGTGTACGTTTATTGGCCCAAGTTGCCACACTAATTTCAGAATGAAATAAGTTAGCAAAGATTTGTAAAAGTGCTTAAACACTATTGGTATAATGGATATTAAGAAATATGAAACACGGTTTATGGTTGAAAATGAAATGGAAAAATAAAAGGTACGGAATAACATTGAAACTGAAGACCTATAATAAAATAATGATGAATGCATAGGGACTGATTTTGAAAAAAAGTCAAATAAGATCTCGAACAATTGTGCGACCCCTAACCAGGTGTTCTGTAGCCAGCAACACTGCTCAAAACAACAACCACTGTCACCATGGATCGGTGGCATGCCGTTACCTCGCCACTCTCAGCTATTCTTGAAACTAGTTCCACCCAAGCCAGAATAATTGAGAGGGATGTACAGTACATTTGCCGCCTGAGTGACAAGCGCATAAATCCTTTGCGCCACAGACGGTGCAGGTTGTTAAAAAAGAGTTGATAACATTTCCAAGATAACTGAATTGATTAGAGCTTCTGGTTGCTCCATCCTCTTAAATTATAATGCACATCAACACAGGCTAGTCCAAAAACTTTTTTTTCATTTAAATGGTGAGTCGTACTGTAGGGAACAAGAACACCATTGGGGACAATCGAATGTACTTAACACAAAAGTACAGGACTTGTTAATAAAATCTAACGATCATAAAGTAAATGCTTAATTTGCAAAATTTCCACCAACTGTCTCAAAATGACTCAGACTCCATTGTTCTTGCATTTTCATACAAATTGCATCCTGTTTCCATTCTTTACTGTTCGATCCTCTTGTCTCTCTGATGCCAGACCTTCTGTTCACGACTAATATCATATACTACTTATGTCAATATAAGTAGCACACACCACAATACTACTAGAGCATCTCAAATTGTTTCAGGAGAAACGCAGTTTAGACCTACATTTTACTGACAGAAATCAAAAGAGAAATGTTACAAAGGTATTCGAACCTCAGGATGGTAGAGAACCAGTATTGTCATTCAAAATTTAAATTATTACATTTTTAAAACCATTTATATATATATATATATATATATAATTGTACGAGAAAATCAATGATTAGTCTCTTATCAGTAAACAGAATTGCTTTTTAAACACGTTTCCACCAGTAAACCATAATTGTAAAATATCTTATTGATAAAAACTAGTTAATGTATATGGGTGTAAAAAATGATGAGAACATACAAAATGAAAGAAATTCAATGCATTCTATGCGAAGTTTGTTTGTCCTTATTTGAGAAAAGATTGTCAAGATAATTCATTGTATGAGAAAGAAGACTGAAAACGTCCAAAACTTTACGTGCAAGCTATGTATTACAATCGCGTTTAAATAAATCGTAGAAATAATTTTTCGACTACGACCAACCGCTATGAATCTTACTATCTTTATTAGTTCTGTAAAGTTGACAAAGTAAAACGGTTCGTTTGCTCATAGAAATAAATTTGAAGTAAAAGTCCTTAGGTATGTTTTGTTTTTTGCTAAGTAGAAGTTTAAATGTTCCTAATGAATAAAATATGACAAACCAAAAAACCAGAGGCTGCAAATGTTTATTTCAATACCCAATTAAGATATATATGCAGGGACATCCAGATGACGAGTTCCGAACAGGATGAAACGCGCGTCCTGGATTACATTTTTAATTACGTCCGATCTATTCTATATCAAGACAAAACATTATTATCCATAGTTATTTTCCAGATATCTTGAAGGTTTAACCGAAACATTATACAAACCTTGATGGTCTTGAATTCAATATTGGGAGAATTCGTGAGCCGCTACTGAATTCAAGAAGTCTCCAAAATAACAAGGTGAAACAAAACAGTAAACACCGTTTATTAAAACTAACAAAACACCTGAACATTCTGATTTTTACATCGGTAATAAATTATGCATTAGCACTACTTTCACCATTACCCGAAAGTTGAATAAAATTAAACCTCTAATTTGTGTGTAGTGGATTATTAATGAATAACCTTCGCTAACGACTACGATCAGTCATATGGAGCAGCTGGTTAAACAAAATTAATTGAAGCAATCTGAGTTGATTTGTTTGAGATGATGAAAAGGATTTGTGACCCAGGTTGATGATTTTGGTGAGCTCAAAAGTTTAATTGTGAACTGTCTATTGTCCTACTGGACAACATAATCAGAACTAACTTCAGATATATGTTCAGCCTGGTGTTAACCAGAAGGACGATAGACGTTTCACAGTTAAACAATACATCTCATAGGATGAAATTCAAATGACGTAAAAAAAAACTATAGAATTAATTATATGTAACCAATAAGTATCGTGTCAATAAGCATAAATATAATTTGTCTTCTTACCACAGAGAGAAATCAGATCCTGGAGAACAGCGACTAACTAAAAGTTTAATCAGTTCACTGGTATTCATACGAAGATAAGTATGTGGAAATGAAAGAACGGCAGTAATTAGCGTAACAATAAGTACCTCACGAACAGGATATTTACCTAACCAGGTGGTTTTACGCAAACGACAGATATACAAATTCGCTCGATTGAATACTGTACCAAAAATACCCTGTAATATATAAATTATTATTATTATTATATGAATAAAGAATTTTTTAAAACTCAGAAACAAAAATAACCAAATAATGTCTTCTAGAAAGGTTGGAAAATACTGATTAGTCTCAAAATGAGACTGTCGAAATCTCAAAGATACGTTGACATAAACGAATGATAACAGTATAATATGGTAATGAATGAAATATATTGAAACTAACTCTAACCATGTTTTTGAAAGAATCATAATCGGGAAGGTTGAAAACAATAAGTCATGAGTTCTACAAGTCAATATAATGAAACAATGCACAAAACTGGAGATTTTACTGAATTGACGCAACTCTGAACCTTTTACAAGTATACTACCTACTCAACAGTATCGCGTTTTCGACGTTTTAAGATATTTGTACAGAGCTTATGTTTTCCAAACTCCGCCTGTAGCTCTTCTAGAGTTACTGCCGGTCCCAAGCCCGGGTAAAGCAGGAGGGTTGGGCATGACGTTAGCGACCCCATCCCGTAGAAAACTAACTCGCTAAAAAAAACACTGACCAGAAAAAATGATTCAAACCATTTAAACTCTGCCCTGGGAGTTAGAAGGTCTTCATTTAGAAGAACTATGACGCCTCATGGTGAAAGTCGAGGCTGATGCCCCTTCTAACAACCAGAGCAAACATTTTTGTAGGTACATGGAACGTCCGAACAATATGGGAGACCGGGAAGACCAGTCAAATAGCAACGGAAATGAGGAGATACAACTTGGCAGTACTGGGAATCAGCAAAGCCCATTGTACCAACCTGGACAACAAAAGCTAGATACTCCGGTCACGAAGAGGAAAATGCTCCACATACTCAGGGAATCGCTCTAATGCTGTCCAAAGTAGCACGAAATACACTTGTAGGATGGGAATCTCACGGATCCAGAATCATCAAAGCATCATTCAAAACAAATAAGGAGGGGATCACAATGAATATTATCCAATGTTATGCACCCACCAATGATAGCAACGACGACATTAAAGATCGATTCTATGAGAGGCTGCAGTCAATCATAGAGAAGTCTCCAAGAAAGGACCTCACCATTCTGATGGGAGATCTAAACGACAAAGTCGGAATAGACAACACCGGATATGAAGATATCATGGACGACGTGGACTGGGAGAGAGAAACGAAAATGGGCAAAGATTTGCAAATCTGTATGCATTCAACAAATTGGTCATATGTGGCACAATATTTCCACACAAACGTATACACAAAGCTACATGGATCTCACCGTACTACACCACAGAGGACCAGATAGATCATAATTGCATCAATAAAAAATTCCGAAGGACAATAGAAGACATAAGAACCAGAATAGGAGCTGACATCACCTGGTGGTAGCTTTTATTATTATTATTATTATTATTATTATTATTATTATTATTATTATTATTATTATTATTATTATTATTAGCTTTATTCAATATGATATTTTTGGTACAATATAGAATTCTCAGCGCAAAGTATTTCAACAAGTTTCCGTTTCTTTCTTCTTGGTCGGCCCTGGTGATAAATATTGAGTGATTGCCAGTTAGATGTTAGCAGTTCACTGAATGAACATCTGAATAATGTTCATTCTTTTCGTTGTATATTGCCAGCAACCACATTGTCTCTTATTGAGTTTTTTGTAACTTTGACAGCGAAAGGTTGTACACTTTTCAGAAACGCAGCAGAATAGGTTATGCGATTAATAAACATAATGATATATTGAAACAAACAAAAATAGATAACCTGTTGAAATATCTAGATGGTAGGAACAGGTAGCCCAAATCCTCAAGGCTAAGATGAAACTGAAGCTAAAGAAACAGTGGACAGCTGGAAGAACAGCATTATAAACGTTCAACACAGCTTCCTTCAAGATACTAATGAACTCATTGAATTCAAAAAAAAACAAAAGGTTCCAAGCCTTATGGGATCTACTGAAAGAAACTACAATGGAGGGAAACTGGAAAAGTATCAAAAGAGCATTAACTTCAGCTTGTCAGGAGGTTCTGGGCCTCAAGAAGCATCATCATAAGGGATGGGTTTCTACGGAAACCCTAGACAAGATTCAAGAAGGGAAGAACAAGAAGACAGAAATTAACAACAGCCGAAAAAGGGTGGAGAAGGTCAAGGCACAAGTTGAGTACACTGAAGCAAATAAGCAAGGGAAGAAGAGCATTCAAGCCGACAAGCAGAAATACGTGGAAGAACTAGCAACGACGGCGAAAAAAGTTGCAAGAAAAGGAAATATGAAACAGCTTTACGATACAACGAAGAAACGAGCAGGGAAATATAGTAAACCAGAGAGACCAGTCAAAGACAAAGAAGGCAGGCCAATCACACAAATTCAATTCCTTATCCATGAGAAAGCATTTGACAGTGTGGATAGGAAAACAGTATGCAAACTTCTCCAACAGTATGATGAACATGAGAAAATCGTCAACATCATCCGGAATTCATACGACGGACCACACTCTAAAGTCGTGCATGTTCGACGGCTGACAGATACATTCTAAGTGAAAACAGGAGTAAGATAAACACGCTTACTCTTACTTTTTCTCTTTCTTACGGTGGTCGGTTGGATTATAGACACCTCAACATCTCAAGTGAAGCACAGAATACAATGGATGGATCGGAATCATTAGAAGATTTGGACTTCGCAGATAACCTAGCCCACCACCTATCCCATACACACGAACAAATGCAGATTAAGACAACCAATGCAGCAGCAGCAGCCACTGCATCACTAGGTCTCAAAATACTCAAGTGAAAAGGCAACATCGTCAAATACAACACGCACAGCAACAACAAAATCACACATGATGGAAAAACTCTAGAAGAGGTGGGAACTTTCAAGTATCTGAACAGAATCATCGATGAGTGAGGCGGATCGGATGCAGACGTAAAGGCGAGGATTAGCAAAGTAAGGACAGCATTCATACAGTTGAAGAACATATGGAACTCAAAACAACTCTCAACCAATACCAAAGTCAGAATTCTCAATACGAACATCAAGACAGTTCTACCGTACGGAGCTCAAGAGTGAAGAATTACTACAACCATCATCAAAAAGGTACAAGTATTTATAAATAATTGTCTACATAAGATACTCAATGTCCGTTGGTCGGATACCATCAGCAACAACCTACAGTGAGAGAGAACAAGCCAGTTTCCAGCTGAGGAGGAAATTAGGAAATGACGATGGAAATGGATAGGACACATATTAGGCAAACCATCAAACTGCATCACGAGGCAAGGACTAACTTGGAATTCTGAACCAAAACTGAAAAGAAAAAGACCAAAGAACACACTATACGGGGAATTCGAAGCAGACATGAAAAGGATGGATAACAACTGGAAAGGATTGCTCAGGACAGAGTTGCATGGAGAATTCTAATGAGCAGTCTATTCTCCTCTACGAGGGGTAACAGTTGTGAGTACGTTTCCCACACATAACCGTGTCTTATACAAACACGAAGTATTATAAAAGTTAGATTTAAAAATAGCATAATTATAACTCGAGAGATATTCGGTGTGAAGCTAAGATCTGAAAAATAAATGGGCCATAACACAAGATTAAAACTATCATTTCCATAAGGTTAGCATATTGTCAACTTCGAACAGCTGCCCATTGAGCTAACCTTACAATGAAAAAATTCTATGGTCCTTCTTCACGAGGGGTAGGAGGTGTAAGTAAGTTTCCCACACATAACCGTATCGTATATAAACATGAAGTAATTAGGACAATGAGAATGATCTGCAGCTCTGTGTAGACCATAATGTATTAGTGAAAATATCATCTGACACGAAGACTGCTGATAAAACATTTTTTTAATCGATCTATTTAAATCTAGCTACAATTAAAGGAGATTACAATCCGAATACCTATTGGTGGTGAGGAGATATAAAGAGCATCCGTTTGGTTTAAATAGCTTCACGGTAGTTTACGTCATTTTACAACTCTGAGTGCCACTTTTAAGTAGTGGTTGGGTTCTCGTGTCATAATAGTAAACTCCAGCTACATAGATTGTACCACTTGTTCCTTTAAGTAATACTACGACAAGCAGGTTGGTTGATTAACAGTAGTAATAAAATCACCAAACCCACGGTCCGAATGTAGAATGATACTACTGACAGTATCAAGTTGTGTCTACTCCAGACAACTAGCACCTAAAGTAATGCTATCCCGTTCATAAAAAAACGAGAATTAGAAAAGGTCTTTTCCATTTTAACCCATGAATTTTCTGCCTCTCATGGTAAGGCCTTTTGAGGTACGGAGCTTACACACCAAAACTTTGTCACAAAAGGACCATGTATCGTCGACTTATTATTAATTTTGTTCCTTTCTTCTAAATGGCAAGAAATAACGAATTAAACTACCTATAATCATGTGTAAAAATCAAAATGGAAATTAATTAATATGTGTAGCCATAGACTGAAACTACAGACAACTTACTCCAAGTAAACCGAGTAAAGCGAATGGAATTAATTCCATCACATGCCATTGTGCTTGATAATCGACATAGAACATAATCATGTTATCACTACCATATGGATTTAAAATACGCAAAACATTAGCTGATACCATAGCACAGAAAAACGATCGGAACATTGTTTTCATTGGAAAATAATAACTAGCTTCTTCTAGTGAAAAAAGAACACCACCAATTGGTGCACCAAATGCAACGGCAACTCCAGCAGCTGCTGAAGCTGAAAGGATCTAGTATTTCGGAGGGAAAAAAGAGGCAGAACCAGAAAGTAAAAATGACAACAATAAGTGGAAATCAGTAAAATGAAGTTTGATTTCAAGGAACTTGTTTAGTTTAAAAAATGATGATAACTAATAATAATATTCACTACGAGGTGATATTCATTGGGAGAATACTGAGAACTAAACAATTAAGATCGAAAGACAATCAGCAACATGTATTTTTTGTAGATGCAGACTACCTGAATAGGGTCGGTGCAGTAAACGTGACCAGATTTTGAAAGCATTGAATGAGATGGCTCATAATCGAGCACAGTGGTCCGGATGGATTCACTACTTATCCTCCTTGAGATCTTAAGTTCCAGTATTTCTTGACAAATATCTTTTATTTCTGTCTATCATATTATTTCGATCCCTTCACTATACATTTGGCTAATTTTATCCCGTTGTGGTAATGTGATATGGATAATTCGGGTCAGGGAACATTTGTGGCCGATTCTACGTTGATTATGATTGATTGACTTTTTTCGCAGTCTACACTAAAAGATCAAAGTTGAGACTTAAAAAACCTTTGGTAAGAAATTTATAGCGGTTCAAACTATCTTCAAAACAACAAAATTTTTCAAAAAAAATTCAAAGTTTTCATCAGATCAATCGATCAATCAATTTTCACTTTGATGTGACGTTTAGAGTAAATTAAATTCAGTCAATCAGCTACAACGTAGGACCAGGCACATATATGCATCGGTCCAAATTGCCATACTTCATTAGCACAGCAAGACGAACACCGGATTCATTGAAGCAGTTAATTCAATGGTGGTAATATATAAAAATACTGCATATAAGGATATAATACAGGAAGAAAGAATTAGTTCATAGGAAGAAAGATATGAAGCGACCTTATAGTTTAAGGGAAGACAAAGAGTGTATACACCTACACCATTGTGATCTAGTCTGAGCTATGTCACCCATGATCTCTAACTATTTGTTTCGATAATCATGCTGACCACAACCAAGTAGTCTGCATCTATCAACATGGCTAAGAATAGAAGTTAGTGACTTCAAGCACTGATGCCACGTTTTAGTTTGGCCAACCCTAACTTTTTTCCAACCATCCCCAACACTAGTCAGCATTGCACATCGTCGTAATCGGTGTTCAGGCATACGCAACACGTGACCCAACCATCTTAGTCCATGAAGATTCACAATCTCATTAACTGATTTACCATCATTCCCTATGTTGTGGATGCGGAGGAATAGACCAATAATTATCGTGTTAAGTCCAATGGTGTCCTTGGACTTTAAATGGACATTTCCTATTGGTCGATATCTGTTCACTTGTTGAATATTGTACAAAATGTTGTTTTCTATTTTATGGTACGATGTGGTATGCTTGATTGGTATATAAACAAAGTATGTGTGAAATATAATGATTCATATCTCCGAGGCTGTGACTTGTGTTCTGGACTCAACTGACTGGGCTAGACAGGGAAGCGAGACCAATCGAGACTCTAGGCTGTCCGTACGTGTTTACGTGTCATTGAATCGATCGATAAATACGCTGCTCTCTAATTTTTCCAGTCAAGGACACAACAATTAGCACAGGGTAAAAATCGACCCCCAATTTAAAGTCATAACACCCTAATACCCTAAGTCTAACCTCACTATTACTTACCCAGTGATCCCAGCAGAGGCCAGCAATATTTCTTAGACATCTGTAGCCAAATACTAGTAACTTACGAGTATCTTCTACTCTTAATGACCACGTTTCGCAGCCGTAAAGTAGAACAGAATGAACTGTCGCGCAATATACTCGTCCTTTTATTGATAGACGGATATCTCGCCTTCGTCATAGGTGACGTGAGTTGGCAAAAACCAAACGAGCCTTCTGAATCCGTGACAAGATTTCCTCAGACACCAACCCATTTGTGCTGACCAGACTTCCAAGATAAGTGAAGTTGTCGACGCGTTTGACTACTTAACTCCCTATCCTTAGTTCAGGTGTTGACGCAGGTCAGTCCTGGAGGAACAGATATCTCTGAAGAGCATCTTGAGTATATCAACCAATAGATTTTATCTCATTAGCCTATAATTTATTCGATAGTGGGTTAGCAAACCCAAGAAAAAGATTTTGGTTAAAATTTCTTTGTGGTAGGCGATTTACTGATGATGCCTTCTTCGCTCTTTCAAAACATAATATCAGCAAAATCATTTTGAAAAAATGAGTTATTAGAATTTTGTCGTAGAAACGAAACTATTTGTCCAATGACACATGACAAGAATGGTCGCTAATAACAACTATGATCTTAGTATTTAAACAAAAACTTAGAGTAGATTAAACTGAGACGGCCTATGATATTGTTGTCGAGTATATTACATCCCGTTAGTTTGAAAATTGGACTTATGACACCTCTGTTGATTCCAGAGCGTACAATCAATTACATACAGTCATAAGCTAATAAACGTCATCAGATCGAATAGCTAACGGTTGTTCACGTAAGCGAAGAGGGTAGCTACGTTGTGTGATATAGTATTGTGGTTGTTGTTTTTTTTTTGAAAACGTATTCAAGTTTATTTTCTTTGTCATTACACTCTACATTGTGTTTTGTGAGATATTATTGACTTTTTGAACTGAATTAATGCCAGAAATCATACAAAGATTGATTACAATAACTGATTAGATAGTCTCGAGTTATCTAATCCTTGTTAATAAGTGTAAATTGCTTTATCATAATGATAACCGTGAAAATGGTTTTGCTTATTCACATTAGCGTATGATCTTTTTCTGATTTTTGATTAATTATTAAAAATTGAGTTTGTTTATTTTCAAGTGCACACCATCTTCAGAACCACAATCGGTGAGTTGTGGTGTAGCAACAAAAGCAAGTCCTATACAGCTTTCTTTCATACCATGACACTATGTCATACACTGACCACCTCTCCGTTTTTCCAACCAGTCCCAGCGTCGGAAAATAATGCACGATGTGAAATTCTTCAAGATGACATTAGGAAGACATCTCCAACCCACTGAAGTAGAGGTGAGTTTAAGTGATAGTCAGTTAGTGATGAGTGTTGAAAATCTTAAATCCTAGATTAATAGCTTAGATCGATTATTGACAACCGTCTTACATAGACCACAACAAGTTCGTAAAATATTATTTCACAACAGCTATTATCTTAGAAAACTTGCCTCCCGTTTTTTAGCTTCATTTTGACCATATTTGGGAAAGAAATGTGCAAATATATTTCCAACACAGGCAGCCATATGAACCATGGGTCCTTCTTTACCAAGATTTAAACCAGCACTTACTCCAAGAATCATACCAATCGATTTTATAAGAAGAGTCCATTTCCCTAAGTAACCACGTATAATGAATCCACCAAGAATAGTTTTGATTTCAGGAATACCGCTACCTAAAATCAAATACGGAAAAAACAGATGTTAAAAAAGCAGATTTTCTCAATATAAAGAACAACACATTAACTAAATGGTTGGTCTAGATAATCTGGGACATACATATAGTGAAGGTTGGGAACCCAAATCAATAACCGGACACCATTGGTGACGTAACTCAGTCTCTGTATACAGCACAAATACATTCGAATATTGTTTATCAACATCTTTAAATTATGTTTCCTGTAACTTTGAAGAACATTTCAGATAACATTACAGATTGAAAATACATATCACAGTACTATTTGAAAATAGAGTAAATGTACTAACGTACGTTTTTTAATCATTTCAATACCACAAAGAGCATACGTTCCTCAAGTATTTAATTTTACGACGAAATGAACGAAAACGATCTGGAATCTGGGAGACAAGCACCAAATACGCTTCATTTTCACTATTCAGAATGACATCCCGCGGAACATTTAACGTTTTCCAGAAAAATGTGTTTACCCCATTATGTAAGCTTTTAAAACATGAATATTCGGTCTAACTGAATTTATCATCATTAGATGAAAAGTCCTCCTGTCCTTCATTATATATATATATATAAAACCACCATGAAATATTTCATTGAGTGCCACCAAAATATGTGGAAAAACTAGACAGTAACATAAGTTAGATCATTATAAATTCACTTGCAAAACAATGTTTTCATCTATCCAAATAAAAATCTTCATTCCAGCGTCGACGAATGATGCACGACGAGGAATTCTCTGGGACGACATTCGTAGAACATGTCCAGGCCACCGAAGTCGATGTTACACGAACATCTCGACTACTTCTATCTGCTCACCATCCAGGGTGAGTACAGGATTGGAATCCTGCCAGTCTTGTAGAAGTACTTTGCACTTCGACAGTGCAAAGCACATACCATACCTACGGACACTGATTGCCAACTGATTAAGTGCGGATTGCATGCCTTGGGCATTATCGCACAGTAAGACAATATCATCCGCATACTCAAGATTGAGAAGTCTTTCTCCAGGCAACAGATCCACACCACCATTACTTACATTCATCAGAGCTGTTTCCAGACTGTCTTCGATGGCAAAGTTGAAGAGGAATGGTGAGATTGGGCAACCCTGTCTAACCCCACTGCTCGAATGAAACAATGTAGAGAGGTGGTTGTATGCCCTCACTCTGCCTGAGGTGTTTATAAATAGGGCTTTTAGGATGTTAATAAACTTCTCAGGCACACCCTTCTTCAATAGACAATCCCAGAGAACAGTCCTGTCCAACGAATCGAAGGCAGCCCTGATGTCAATAAACACTACGATTGTTGGCCTTTGATAAGTATGGCGGTGTTCTAACATTTGGCGGAGGGTGAAGATATGATCAATACATCCTTGACCAGAACGAAACCCAGCCTGCTCCTCGCGAGTCAATCTTTCTCGGGTTTTGAACAACCTACGAAGTATGATGGAAGCCAATAGCTTCGACGCAATCGGAAGTAGACTTATCCCCCGATAGTTGTTGCAGGAACGACGTGAACCCTTTTTAAAGATAGGGACAACTATTGTCTCATTCCATGACGTTGGTACACTCTCTAGTTCCCAAACCTATGTAAACAACGTCGTCAATTCCTTAGTCAAAAATTTACCACCACCTTTAAAAAGAGCCGGAGGTAAGTCATCTGGACCAGGTGATTTGTAACGCTTCAAGAGTTGGAATTCCTTGCGGACTTCCTCCTCGTTTGGTGGATCAGTCGTGCTGCAAGTGGCTCGGATGAGCTAGGAGAGCTTCCGGTAGTTACCAGATGCAGCTGCTGCTTCCAGCTCATTAGCACGCTTCGACCACCAGGCTTCTCGGTCCTTACGCAAGCTTTGCCCAATTTCCTTACGTAACATCCTTCGTTTATGGTCAAACTCACGGTCACCCGGAGTAGACCGACGGGCTTCAATGAGTTGTAAGGAACCAGAAGAAACCCAGTGCTTAAAGCGGGACGTTTCGCAAACCCACAACTGACTGTTCCCGCCATTTTCATGGCGTCATGCAATTGCAACCAATGCTCATCTATACTTTTCGGTGGAGTGGTAGCTAGCCTAGAGGCTAGCTCGGTTCGATACTTACTTGCAACAGAAGTTGCAACCAGCTTGCTAACATCAATCCGTTGGTGGCGGTCACTTCGTTGTCCACTGAAAAGTAAGGCAAGATTGGCGCAGACCAAGGCATGGTCAGAGTCCAGATAGGTACTCCAAAAGGAGCGGCAGTCTTGTACACAACCACGCCAGCGGTAGCTGATCGCGATGTGATCAATCTGAGTCCAGGCTTGAGATGCAGAGGGAGGACGCCAGGTGGCACATCGGCGATGACTGTGCCGAAAGTTAGTGCTAGCCAGAAACAGGTTGTGGTCTGTGCACAGTTGCAGTAGACGGTCCCCGTTATCTGACCTGCGACCAACGAGTCCCCATCGGCCACCTAAACGACTCTCTTCTGTGCCTAGACGCCCGACCTGAGCATTCAAGTCTCCGGCTAGTACTACAATATCTGTCGAACGCACTTTCTGGAGAAGAACAGATAACTGGTGGTAAAACTCATCCTTGATTGCATCCGGGCTGCAATCTGTCGGGGCATAGGCGGAGATGACGAAAAGACATCGTTTCTCACGCCGATTTCTTCTCACTTTGATGGAACTTTCTAATCTAACAGCACATAACCGACTGTTAATGGGGATCCAATCGACTAGTGCTGCCTCAGCTCTAGCGCTTAGTGCGACACCAACGCCAGCAAGACCAGACGAAGATGCCACAGGGTCCCCGGATAAGCGCACGTAAAACAAGCTTTTCGAAGCGACAGATGGAGATCGAATTTGTAGTACTTCGCCAGAGTCTTGAATACGGGTCTCGGATAGACAACAAACATCAATATTAAGACTTTCCAAAGACATAGCCAGCCCTATCTGTTGTCCGACCTGCATAAGTGTGCGAACGTTGAAGGCAGCCAGTTTGAATGGTGCACGTGGTTTCAGAAAAACTGCTTCAGTACTCATATTCGGTGGTAACATACAATTTTCAACCGGACAGTGACTCGAGAACGTTTAGATACAGTCGAATTTCCACCAAAGACGAGCTACTGTATAAGTCGAAAAAATAAGTATAGACGGAGTAGGAATAAAAGAGGGTGAATAATGATGTAGTAAATGACAATAATAATAATAATAATAATAATAATAATAATAATAATAATAATAATAATAATAATAATAATGTGAATCGTTTGACTGTTAATAGAGGCAAGAATAGTATTTTCCGTGAATATCGACATTTCATTATATTTGTTCTATTCACAAATAGAATAGATCATTACCTCGTAGAAGAACGACAAAGGAAAATCGCGGAAATCCAAACGACGGTCTGTTATGTGTATTTTTAAAATATTGAGATTGATTACAGTATAATTTAACGCTATTAATTAAATGTAAAGTAAATTTCAAGTGTGAAAACTCAGTTGACACAGGCAGCTTCCACAGAGGCCATTTCCCACACTCTGCATAAACAATCAGAAACTATTAAAAGCGACTTGAATAGATGCACACCATAAAAATTATGGGATTTATATAGAAGAAAAAGCATGCTTACAAGTAGGCAACAGTAACAGTTTTTAATCAAATAATTGTATTTAACATATCTAGGTAATCTAGTCTTTTAGAAAAGACCGCATCTACAAATGATTCTACTGAAGCCAGTGATCTGGGGAAACCGGGACAGGATTTGTGAAAAAGATCATCATGAAAACAAAGAAAATCAAAGGCATTATAATTTTACTTGAAAAAAAAACGAAATCTTACAACTCTTTCAAAGGAAGATGTTAAGCAAGCAAACAAGAGTAAAACTATTGATTGCTGATAGCCGTTCAGTGCAATATTCAATTATATTCTGACTATTTCAGTTATTAGTTATTTCAGTATTATTTCAGGTTTAACACTTAACTAATATGAAATTCGCTAAACGTTATTATAATTTAGTAAATATATATACTTCTCAGAACAAACCAGGTTGTCTTCTTACTAGTTGAGTGTTGCGTCAATAATAGTGAGGGTAAAGTGTTGAAGAGTCATTCCGTTGAGTTCAGTTAGGCCAGTTATGCTTTTATTGAAGTAAATCTTGTATGCAATTATGATGATATTTTCAAATTATATAGCAAAGAGCAGGTTATAACAGGCAGTTTATTTTTTTGTGAGAAATAACTTTATGTGAAAGATGTATTATGTTTAAGAAAAAACTTCTTAGCTTGTCATTTGATAGATCGATAAGTAATGTTAGTATGACAACTGCTATACTATTCAATTGTTGAGAGTTATAATCTATCAACAGTACACATGGAAGACATATTTCAACTGCTTTTACGTTTAATCCTGATGTTCCATATGTATCTCTAATAATAAAAGCATCTACTTTTTTTTTACTCAACTCTGAAATCTTATAGATTGAGTTAACGATGTAAACAAAATTGGATTGAACTAATACCTATAAAAATACAAACACAAACATCATGATGAATCTGTCACTACTATGAAAATTAGTAAAATCACACACGACTTTAATTAGCAAATATATTTTCTAGAGAAATTTAGTTTATTTGTTTATTCTATAAAAATAGTTAAGAGACCAATTAAATTCTTAAAAATCAACTCCAAAATTACTCTTTAATATGACCAAAAAACAAAACAACGCATTCGATGTAAACAATGAAAAAGAGAATGAATAAAATTTATTACCACGATATAAAGTATCTTAAATAATTCGAAAAAATAACTATTGTTCTCATTTGGAAATTCTAGAATTAACATGTACACATTGAATAATTGCTTAAATTCGTGAATGACTGACTAATTTTACGACACTATTTTGATGTATACGGCGAGACTTGGGCGCGATTAGTCAATAAGAGCAGACAGATATATTAAGCCATACTAAATATAGGAGACCATCCAGTATTATTGTGCAGCATTGAAGTTGTATCCTATTTTAGTTCCACTTACTGACAACTTTGGACTGTATGTTAAAAAAAACTCGTTCTGATGTAATCTGGTTCTTGATTGTCAGTAAGATGATTGAGTCAGCTGTATCATGTGATCAGATACCGTGATCTGGCGCCCAGTCTAGTGATCTATTAATCTAATATCCAGTGTATAATCCCTTTACATTAGAACGATGCTGTTACCGTTTTATGAATAAAAGGAAATTGCTACTTGCTACTTATAGCAATTGAACAAAGACTCATAATCACCAACGAAAACAAGGAAAGTAAAACTGAAAATGAAAGATTTATTATACACTTAAACCACTGAATCATAACTGACCAAAACGACATGAAAAATTACAATAACAAGTATGTTATCTTTGACTATTCGGTCAATAGTTAGATTTGGATAAAACAAGCTAGCAATAATTGACATTAACTGCTTTAATTAATAAATATAACTCAGTATGGGGATTTGTGGAGATTGTAGTATTTTCAGAGCTGGATTCAAGAGTCGATGTAAGCTAGATCACCACTAAATACCTGGAAGAACTGGAAGGCCGTATGAGAATTCACAGTGGTGCGCATCCACGACCCCGCAGGTGGGACTCGAACACAGGAACTTCGATTTCGCACGCGAACACCTAACCTCTAGATCACTGAGCCGACATTCAACGGCGTTAATATCAAACTTCAATCGATCCATGATCTTGCGCAACTCTTCACTCATTGTCCAGTGTTTTCAGGTTTTCAATGGTGGTCTAGCTTAAATCAACTTGTGAATTCAACTATGAAAATATAACTCAATTAGTGAGTTACATTTTTATTCTGTCCAAACACAATGATAGAAGTCTGGCCAATTCATTTCTCAATTTCCTTTATGATATGTATGTGTTCAAAGTATATAGAATGTAATAGATTTATGACGTTCATCACATGGATCAAATAAGTTATTAGGGCGGATGAAAAACGAACCAAAGAAGAAGTGTTACTTAATGTAGAATTTGCTTGTATAGTGATCAATACGTTTAGAAAATATTCAAAGTAGATTTCTTGCATCCTGAACGACTGATTATGAACGAGGTCAATCTAAACAACAGAGATTCAAATGATTATCATTCGATGCTGAATACATTTAATCAAGCCAATGAATCAATACATATTAGTGTTAATTACTGTTCTTATTAATCACCCGAACAAAATCAGGTCTAAATACGAACAGAATATGGTACAACACACTGTACCGTTTTAGAACATCGAAATGTACAGTACCAAAGTGATCGTAAAGTAGTATCTATACATATATAAGACATTAACTAGTCTAATGACATCAGTCACTCGAGTTCCAAACACATTAAAATGCGTCAGTACAACATTGAACATCTTGGTCATTTAAAAACGATACAAGTAAGAAAATTATTTAAAAAATCAAACGCAGCGAATGATCCCAAGAAATTTGATAAAAGATTTACAAACCATTTGCTTTCATCCAATCTTATAATATTATCAATGTACTATGAATGTACATTTTAAGAGTAAGCTATCTTTCGAAATGTAGCAATCAAACTTTGAAGAGATAATTAATGCAATTAAACTGCCCAGCACAGAGAATACACCACGTCTTAAAAGTGTCCAACTGAGCTACAAATTATCTCCACTGTTTTTAAGGATTTACACATTTTGAAATCACTAGAGTAGGTAATCCTACTTACTAACTGGTATTTAAACTAAATTGAGCTTAATAAAAATGACCTTCTAGCTATCTTCTTAGGTGGTTCGTTAGTAGAATGTCATGATGAGGCAGTTGATCTGTCTACTAACCCTTGAACTGGAAAACTGAATCAGACGGCTGCGGGAATTGTAATGATATAATTTGCCGGTTGACCGACTAAAAAGGATTAATAAGTATTCTTTTGAAAGGGACTTCTGACTGCCATCGAAACTACAATTAAAAAGGAAGCCGAATGGTTTAAGTTCAATTTGGTACAGTGGCGAAATATAGTTTTATGTAATGGATTAGTCGACTGATAAGGAGCTTAAAACGAAGCTCAAAAAGTGCACATATAAGGTAGGTTTGGCTGAATAACTTCACTAGTAACGAGTACAAAAACTGATAGTTTTTCAAACCTATGACAAACTGATAGTCCTCTGACACTACTTATTTTAACACTTAAAAGATTCAAACACAGTTCAATGTATTGAAAATTAGGAAACTAGGTAAAAGCACCAGCTCTTAGCAGTGATATTCTTGAATTAAATAATCAACTTTCGATTTCTTTCCATTCTCGGTAATTTCTTTAGAAATGTTGTTAAATAAACACCTAGTATTAACATTGACGCGGATAATATAATTAATAATGAACAAGTACTCAAAAGTTATCATTCAGAAAAGTAAGATTAAAACTACACACTTACCAGTTCAGTTTCATAATGACATAGTGGACAACAATCTGATTCCTAAAAAGATAGGTAATGAGTTCAAATCTCAGTCTGAACATAAACACTTAGATGCACATGCACATCAAGAACGCGCGTCCTGAATTCCACCACTACTCTAAAACAACTGTTACTGAATTTAATTAGTTACTAAGTAAAATTTTATGGAATAGTCTCATATTAGCTCTCAAATCTAATGTGATACTACTTAGCTACCTAAATCGAAACAGATAGACTAGGATGTACACTGACAATTTCTAAGCCAATATTACTCTGTTTAGTGACCATGAATAATGGAATGTTAAAAAAAACACGACCTTTTGGAAACTACATTTTAAGCACAGGCAGTCAAATGTAAAAAATGTCTTACCACAAGCGTAAGGAGCGAACATACGAACAAGAAATACACAAACTAGAGCAAATAATACAGCATAAATGATGTAGAATATGTAACCAACAAAGTAAGCATCTGGATATTCACCAGTTGGATCTTTGTTCATAAAAAGACGAGACCATGAATACCACTAAAATTGAAAGGAGTGAAGAAAGAGAACAAAAACAATTACAAAGACTCCACATTGCACAATAAAACTCTAATCACAATTCGAAACATTCAATATTAGTGTGTCCAAATCCTTTTTCAAACTGAACCTTTTGCTTCACTTCTATGAATCAACTACTATTATAAGTCTTTCTAATTGAACGCTAGATTTGTTCCTAAGCTCTTCTAGTAATCCCCAGGCTAGATCTATACAGTGACTTAAAGACGAGAGAAAAGTCGCGAAATACGTAAGAAACACTTCACCCCAAAGATTTGTTCACATACAGAAAACCTAGGGTTTTTATAGTATTTTAGATGTCCTTGGGCTTCACGAAAACTCTGGAACGCTACTAAACATAGTAGCAGTATAAATAATCATCCAATCAGAAACTCGACAAGTGACTTGATACTTTTTTGATGTTTCTGGCAAAACTTCCGGTGAATGCTGATTAGATAATATGCTTCTCAGTGTTTTCAGAGCCTTTCTTGGCTTTTTTCAAGGAGTTTTCTGGATCTCTGTTGTAACGTGTGGATTGCAGGTTAGATGTGCAGCGTTTTATTGATCAAATCAGTGACACGTAAAACATGTAACGAACGGCCTAGGGTTCTGATTGGTCCCGCTTCCCTGTCTAGCCCAGCCAGTTGAGTCCAGAACGCAAGTCTCAGCCTCGGATATATAAATCGTCATATTTCAAACACACTCTGCTTATATACCAATCAAGCATACCACATCGTACCATAAAATAGAAAACAACATTTTGTACAATATTTAACAAGTGAACATATATTGACCAATAGGAAATGTCCATTCAAAGTCCAAGGACACCATTGGACTTACTTACTTACTTACGCCTGTTACTCCCAATGGAGCATAGGCCGCTGACCAGCATTCTCCAACCCACTCTGTCCTGAGCCTTCTTTTCTAGTTCCATCCAATTCTTGTTCATTTTTCTCATGTCTATTTCCATTTCTCGGCGTAATGTGTTCTTTGGTCTTCATCTTTTCCTTTGACCTTCAGGATTCCATGTGAGGGCTTGTCTTGTGACGCAGTTGGGTGCTTTCCTCAATGCGTGTCCTATCCACCTCCAGCGCTTCTTTCTGATTTCTTCCTCCGCTGGGATCTGGTTTGTTCTCTCCCACAGTACGTTGTTGCTAATAGTGTCCGGCCAATGGATCTGAAGTATTTTGCGTAGACAATTGTTGATAAACACCTGTATTTTCTGGATGATGGCTTTCGTAGTTCTCCAGGTTTCTCCCCCATACAGTAGAACTGTCTTGACATTTGTATTGAAAATCTTGACTTTGGTATTGGTTGACAATTATTTTGAGTTCCAGATGTTCTTCAGCTGTAAATATGCTGCTCCTGCTTTGCCGATCCGCGCTTTCACATCTGCATCAGATCCACCCTGTTCATCAATGATGCTGCCCAAATATGTAAAGGTTTTTACATCTTCCAAATCTTCTCCGTCAATTGTGATTGGATTGGTGCATTCTGTGTTGTATCGGAGAATCCTGCTTTTCCCTTTGTGTATATTGAGACCTATTGCTGCTGCCACACTGTTCGTCTTCTCCTGCATCTGTTGTTGCGTTTGGGATAGAAGGGCCAGATCGTCTGCGAAGTCTAGATCATCCAACTGCATCTTAGATGTCCATTGTATCCCGTGCTTCCCTTCAGACGTTGACGTCTTCATGATCCAGTCGATCACCAGGAGAAAGAGAAAGGGTGAGAGTAAGCAACCTTGCCTGACACCGGTCTTTACTTCGAACGAGTCTGTCAATTGTCCTCCATGCATGATTTTGCAGTTTAATCCATCATAAGAATTCTGTATGATATTGATTATCTTCTGAGGCACGCCGTAGTGTCTAAGAAGCTTCCATAGTTTTGTCCTGTCCACGCTATCACATGCTCTTTCGTAGTCAATGAAGTTGATGTAGAGTGATGAATTCCATTCAATTGATTGTTCCACAATGATCCGTAGTGTTGCGATTTGGTCTGTACACGATCTATCCTTAAGGAATCCTGCCTGTTGGTCCCAAAGTTGGGCGTCTACGCAGTCCTTCATCCTGTTTAACAATACCCCGTTGAAGACTTTTCCCGGTATTGAGAGAAGAGTGATGCCCCTGTAGTTATCACACTTGCTGAGATCGCCTTTCTTCGGTATTTTGACCAGAAGTCCTTCTTCCCAGTCTGTTGGTACTTCTTCCTCATCCCAAATTTTGCTGAAGAGAATGTGGAGTATCCTTGCAGTTGCCGCTACGTCTGCTTTTAGTGCCTCTGCTGGGATGTTGTCTGGTCCTGCTGCTTTGCCACTCTTGATTTGTCTGATGGCCATGCTGATTTCTTCAACTGTTGGTGGGCCAACATTGATTGGGAGGTCCATGAGTGCTGCTTCGATGTTGGGTGGGTTCAGTGGAGCTGGTCGATTCAAGAGTTCTTTGAAGTGTTCTACCCACCTGGACTTAACATGATAATTATTGGTATATTCCTCTGCATCCCTAACAATCTCCCCAACATATTAGTATACTGTTTTTTAACTAAATTTGTAAATAAAATTGCATAATCTCAGCGGTGTAAACAACAGAAATAAAATTCAGTATTTCACTTAGCTAATAATAAATAGAAATAATTACTCATTTAACAAGTACAAAATTATGTACTTGACTATGAGCTATTGATCCAATCTGGCTGGCCTAATTATCTGATGTTTTGGAGGAAATCAATAACCAAAAACTTGTAACTAGCACTTTACTGAAGAATAAAGAAATATAAAGAACATACTTACTTGATCACAGACATCATCCGCTTGACTTGATGACCAACAACACTGTTCACGGTTGAACCAAAATGCATCTAGACAAACACCCTCTTTTAAATCAGACAGCCAAGTACAACCAATATCAATGATGCAAGCAATGAAACCTGTCAACAAACCGACACATAATACACAAAACCATCCAGAAGCAGAATCCCAACATGCTTTAATTGAACCACAGCATGTTTTCTAGAAATTTTAGAATTGACAATGAAAACACATAGAGAGGAAGCATAGAACCAGTTTAAATATTAAAGAATTAAATTTGCCTACCCTAATAAAAGGAAGAAAGACGAAATGGTCATAAAGAGAAATGTTTTCTACGCAGAAACATTACAGGTATTTCATAAGTGGCAAACATTCATGACATTAACAATGCTTAGAAAAGACAAAATATTTACAAATAACCGAAATGTAACTTATTCACTAGAAGAAGGCTTATGAACACAGCTCCAAACTTCACTGTTTGATTGAGAGCTGGTGAGATTACTCAAACTGAAGTAGGTAAAATAGATTTCCAATTATCTATATACTGGTAGCAAACCATAACGATATCACTTAAGAATACGTTTAAAGACTTTCTATATTATGAATGACTGGGTTCTTAATTGATCACGTAAAAAATAGTCGAAAAACAATAACACGAAGGAAATATTGAAAGTGTAATAAGTTTTGAATAACGCAGTTTGACAAGTCAGTTATTGAATTCACAATTATATGCAACAATAAACTCTGACTTGGTGATTAAAGGGTTTCATTTTCGACCATTCAATGATGTACTCAGACTCCACTTAACATATAGCACTCCAACTACCACTGGATAGTATCACTGATCTTCTTACAAATCAAATGGTTTGGAGCCGAATACCTTGTACTGGATACAAGAAATATAGGATTGAAATCAATTAGCAAGATGAATGACAAGAAAAACTGTGCAATAATGTGAATTTTGGTGAACTTATTGCATTTACGAAATAAAATTTATCAAAACTGAAAGCTGGAAAATAATTGAAATAAGATGTATTTCGAATATATACTAAAAATGATATAAGTGACAAGATAGCTGACAATGAAACGAATAAATTTGTGTATAGTGTATGATATCAGACAAATTAGATGAATAAATATTCTTTTGTTTAAATTTCAGCATCTAATAAGAGATAATAACTATAATGGTTTAGATTTAAGATGAAATAGATATTTTGTCTACTGAACTTAACAAAGTCAAACACATGCACTCCAAATGTAACGTGAAATTTTCTCTGTATCTGTCAACATTCGAAGGTTGCTAAAACTCTTCTAGAACAAGCGATTTTCAAATCTTTTAAAATAATGTATACCAAATAAACAAAATGGTAGATTAAAGGATTTGAATAGAATAAAACATTACCGATTTATTCACTGTGATAAATAATGATCTAGGATAAGATAAAGTATTCCTATTACAAACCTACATAATCAGAAATAATGATTGGTAGGTTCAGTTTGTCATAACGTGAAATAATAGTGAAAAGAAACGGTAGAGATAAATCTACGAAACAGACAAACCGACCGACTCGGAAGAAAAGTATGACATAGTGAGTCTGTGAGAATTCACAAAATATCTCAAACAGATTATACATTCTTTCAACTATATTTTTTATCTTTTTGCGAACCTCATTCAGAAGGTTTACACCAAGTTATACTAATCTAAACAATCTCTAGTAATTTACAATTCGATCCTACTTATTCGTTTTTGAAGTTGCTAGAATAAGGAGTCGCGAATTATGCTGTATTGATAGTTCTACACCATGGACTGACTTTGTTTAGACAGCCAACAAAAGCATTAGTAATGTGGACACTAATAGGGAACAGGTAAGAAAATGACTGTTTGAATAAATAGACATTTTTTAAAAAACCATAGTTTCCTTGACCAATTTTATCTTGGAAATTCTATAAATCTGGAAATACACTGTCAACGGTTTGGAGATACTTAAAAACATAACCAAGTGTATAGAACCCAATATTGACCAAATGACTTAAAGATTTTGAGGCAATCTGCTCAAAGAACACAAGACGCCAGATAACGGAGTATTAACTCATGAGTCACATTCCATATCACTGCTCTACAGATCATACAAAAAACAATGTTTATCATTTGATAGAGAATCAAGAATTTTTGTAAACAAGTTAATGAAGATCTAGAAGCATATCGCCTAAGTAAATCGGGAATCAACGAACATATCGAGGTAGATGCAATCCACCAACCTATAGAAAAGAAAGCCAATAAACATGTTCAGAAGCCAAAAGAACAAGAAACCCAAAGAAAAATGAATACAGTAAAACTTATGAAGGCAGTCAATTACAGGTAAGTTCACTAGAACAAACCAATTTTACGCTTAAACACGATTAAGGTCACTTTTTCTATATGAAGCAAACACTGATATTCTCCAGAATTTCAATTGAGGCTCCGCAATGAAACCATCTATCTTAGAGAAGTTGACAAAATCAAAAGCATCCGCTTAAGTTACAAATGCTCTCCGTCATTTTAAGACTAAAATAAATTATACATTGGTAAGATTGACGATGAAAACACGAAAAAATATCGGAAGTAAAGAAAGATACAAAAGAAAACTCAAACTAACTCTATTCAAATGAAGTTCTCGATGACGACATCGATCACGTGAAACATCTTTGACCCAATCGATAGTTTCGAAATCTTCATAATGTTCAACTTTCGATATTGCTCCAGTGGAATGACTATTGATTGAATTAATATTTTGATATGATAAGAATTCACCATTTCGACCTGAATAATGAATAACAACAACAACAGAAAATACTTGAATAAATTGCAATAATTTATTTCATTATCATGATCATGGATAAAAAGAGTCAATCGACAGATTTGATTAAATACAAACTAATTGAGTTCAACAAATAGAAAAACTAAGACGAGGACACTATACCAACCAAGCGATCTTGAGCTTGACATCTACATGTAAAGTGATGAGAACTAAACATAAGAACGAGAAAATTAAGAATGATGAATGACCAGACCCAGTATTGTACAGTTTGAAATCCTCCATTCACACAAACATGTAAGGAACTTCGTAAAACTCACTCAGTGGCACACAAAATTGAAACGCTTGTCTAGAAAACAGAAGACATAACAACAGAAAAACAACCATTCATTACAACTACACTGACTAGACCTTTTAATGTAAGCGGTCAGCACAAACCCAGAAAGTTGTTAGAAATGCAAGACAGATTTTATTGAGATAAGAAACCTGGGTCAGAAAACCAAAGAAAACCTGGAAGCACTGGACAACTGTTTTGTCCTGGCACAGGACTCTTCGTCACTGTGTATCATTCAACCCACCATCAAGAAAAAGTCTCATACTACGAAGAAACAATTACCTAATGCTCCAAAATTTTCAATCTTTATCCAACTTAGTTCCATTCGTCATTTTAATAACAAAAACAAAGCAGTTTATTTAATCTACTAAAAAAAATCACTGTGTCTATACTACACAAATACACGGGTGATACAAGACAGACAATAACTAAGAATCATTGTAATGAATATGTTCACAGCTTCATTAAACCACAACTGCAACTCGGTCGATCCATCATTTAAAATAAAACTTTGTTGAGCCAGCTGGATCCTAATTCATAATCACAAATCATCATTATCACACTTAACAATCCAATCAATAATGATAAATAAAGAATAAATATATGTCTAAAGAGACTCGACTAACATTATTCTTAATGAACAGAATCCAGTAGTAGTTATCATTTATTTCAACATATAAACTTTGGTACAAGGGGGAACCAAATATATATGCGCCACACAACAATGAAGCCGGTTTGTGTGACGGCTGAGATACTGTTCGGGCGCCCAAACAGATGTAGATGGTTTTCTTAGGGGGCCACACACAGAGCTTTTGACCTAAAGGTCTAATCTACAAGGCATTGGAGCAACACTAGAAGATACAGTCCCATGATGGCTGGTCACCAACAATAGGTTCATACCCGCATTTGTTCCCTCAAGAGCTCATGTGCACTATTGGTTTTGAATCAGGGTTTTCCAACACCCCTAGGTGGACCGTCCGTGTCCACCAACCCGGTTAAAGAGCCGGACATTCGCTTCTCGTCCTCTCGATTTCGTAAACAACAGTAATGCCACAAAAAGGTAGTGAGTAGGACATCCTTGGTAGTGGCTGTATATGCGTCGCCGTGTGAGAGCATTTCAAGAGGAACAGATGACTCTTCCTAACCTCGGCTGTACCAGGACATTTAGGGTCGAACAGTATCCAAATCATTATGATATAGAAAACACGATGAACATTTACAATCTCCGGTGAATTTATGGAGGAATTTTTAGGAGGTTCATTTCGATTTTTTGAGGTTGTGACACAATGCAAGTATAATATAAAATAAAAATATCTCTGAAGGAGTCAAGGACGTACGCTATTGAGTTTATTTATTTATTTATTTGAACACATGAATATTGGTACAAGAGAGCGCCAATATATATGCGCCACACAAAACAATGAGAATTCGAAGAGAAATAGAAGAAAAAAACTAAGGAGCGCGAAAGAGAACAATAACGAAGAGATTGGTGTAAGGTAGTGTGGTAGTAACGAGGAACGAAAGGTACAATCAGAAGAAATCTTTCAGGTAAGGAGACACAACCACTTTTTATGAAGAAAGTAAAAGAAGGTTACAGCAGGATCGCCACTGGCTTCTATTCTGAGCCATATCTGATAACGTCTCTAGCCACTGTGTAGCACCATCTCTCAGACCCCAACCAGGGAGTCGTGAAGGACCAACACAAGCCAGTCCTTTGCAGCTTTCTTTCATGCCACGACACCATGTCATGCACTGACCACCTCTCCGCTTCTTCCAACCAGTCCCAGAGTCGGCAAATAATGCACGACGTGGAATTCTCTGGGACGACATTCGGAGAACATGTCCAAGCCACCGAAGTCGGTGTTTCAAGATGGTGACACCAATTGAATTATCATCTCTGTGCCCGAACACACGATGCCGAACCTCTGCATTACTGACATGGTGTTGCCACTGAATGTCAGCAATCCTTCGGAGACAGCGATGATCGAACACAGAGAGTCGTCTAACGTCCTCAACTCGGAGAGGCCAGGTTTCACAAGCATAGAGCAAAACTGCTCTCACCGACGCGTTGTAGATCCGACCTTTTACAGCCAGACTAACATCACGAAGGCGCCAAAGGTGGCCCAGATTGGCATAAGCCGCTCTGGCTTTCACTATTCGTGCATTGATCTCATCACTCACACCCCCACCAGCACTTATGCAGCTACCCAGATACACGAACTTCTCAACTACGTCTATCTGCTCACCATCCAGGGTGAGTACAGGATTAGAATCCTGCCAGTCTTGTAGAAGTACTTTGCACTTCGAAGGTGCAAAGCACATACCATACCTACGGACACTGATTGCCAACTGATTAAGTGCGGATTGCATGCCTTGGGCATTATCGCACAGTAAGACAATATCGTCCGCATACTCAAGGTCGAGAAGTCTTTCTCCAGGCAACAGATCCACACCACCATTACTTACATTCATCAGAGCTGTTTCCAGAATGTCATCGATGGCAAAGTTGAAGAGGAATGGTGAGATTGGGCAACCCTGCCTAACCCCACTGCTCGAATGGAACAATGGAGAGAGGTGGTTGTATGCCCTCACTCTGCCTGAGGTGTTTTTATATAGGGCTTTTAGGATGTTAATAAACTTCTCAGGCACACCCTTCTTCAATAGACAATCCCAGAGAACAGTCCTGTCCAACGAATCGAAGGCAGCCCTGATGTCAAGAAACACTACGATTGTTGGCCTTTGATAAGTATGGCGGTGTTCTAACATTTGGCGGAGGGTGAAGATATGATCAATACATCCTCGACCAGAACGAAACCCAGCCTGCTCCTCGCGAGTCAATCTTTCTCGGGTTTTGAACAACCTACGAAGTATGACGGAAGCCAATAGCTTGGACGCAATCGGAAGTAGACTTATCCCCCGATAGTTGTTACAGGAACGACGTGAACCCTTTTTAAAGATAGGGACAACTATCGACTCATTCCATGACGTTGGTACACTCTCTAGTTCCCAAACCTTTGTAAACAACGTCGTCAATTCCTTAGTCAAAAAGTCACCACCATCTTTAAAAAGAGCCGGAGGTAAGTCATCTGGGCCAGGTGATTTGTAACGCTTCAAGAGTTGGAGTTCCTTGCGGACTTCCTCCTCGTTTGGTGGATCAGTCGTCACCGGCCATGGAGGGCAGGACAGTCTGACCGATGTTGCCGGAGCAGCAGGCCAGTTGAACTGCCCTTCGAAAAATTCTGCCCATCGTCCAAGACGTCGATGGATGTTAGTGATTGGCATCCCATCATCCTCGCAGATTGTTTCACTCACACCAGACTTCTTGCTGCCAGTGGCTCGGATGAGCTGGAAGAGCTTCCGGTAGTTACCAGATGCAGCTGCTGCTTCCAGCTCATTAGCACGCTCGACCACCAGGCTTCTCGGTCCTTACGCAAGCTTTGCCCAATTTCCTTACGTAACATCCTTCGTTTATGGTCAAACTCACGGTCACCCGGAGTAGACCGACGGGCTTCAATGAGTTGTAAGGAACCAGAAGAAACCCAGTGCTTAAAGCGGGACGTTTCGCAAACCCACAACTGACTGTTCCCGCCATTTTCATGGCGTCATGCAATTGCAACCAATGCTCATCTATACTTTTCGGTGGAGTGGTAGCTAGCCTAGAGGCTAGCTCGGTTCGATACTTACTTGCAACAGAAGTTGCAACCAGCTTGCTAACATCAATCCGTTGGTGGCGTCACTTCGTTGTCCACTGAAAAGTAAGGCAAGATTGGCGCAGACCAAGGCATGGTCAGAGTCCAGATAGGTACTCCAAAAGGAGCGGCAGTCTTGTACACAACCACGCCAGCGGTAGCTGATCGCGATGTGATCAATCTGAGTCCAGGCTTGAGATGCAGAGGGAGGACGCCAGGTGGCACATCGGCGATGACTGTGCCGAAAGTTAGTGCTAGCCAGAAACAGGTTGTGGTCTGTGCAAGTTGCAGTAGACGGTCCCCGTTATCTGACCTGCGACCAACGAGTCCCCATCGGCCACCTAAACGACTCTCTTCTGTGCCTAGACGCCCGACCTGAGCATTCAAGTCTCCGGCTAGTACTACAATATCTGTCGAACGCACTTTCTGGAGAAGAACAGATAACTGGTGGTAAAACTCATCCTTGATTGCATCCGGGCTGCAATCTGTCGGGGCATAGGCGGAGATGACGAAAAGACATCGTTTCTCACGCCGATTTCTTCTCACTTTGATGGAACTTTCTAATCTAACAGCACATAACCGACTGTTAATGGGGATCCAATCGACTAGTGCTGCCTCAGCTCTAGCGCTTAGTGCGACACCAACGCCAGCAAGACCAGACGAAGATGCCACAGGGTCCCCGGATAAGCGCACGTAAAACAAGCTTTTCGAAGCGACAGATGGAGATCGAATTTGTAGTACTTCGCCAGAGTCTTGAATACGGGTCTCGGATAGACAACAAACATCAATATTAAGACTTTCCAAAGACATAGCCAGCCCTATCTGTTGTCCGACCTGCATAAATGTGCGAACGTTGAAGGCAGCCAGTTTGAATGGTGCACGTGGTTTCAGAAAAACTGCTTCAGTGCTCATATTCGATGGTTATACAAAATAACACTACAAAACCACTTAATATTTATTAAATGTAATTCATAGCGTGCTTTACACTTTTTTTCAGACCAGAGACTAGATGGCATCAAATAAATAGGAAAGAATTGTATAGCGTAGCTGACTCCCATTATGAACAGTACAAATCAGTGAAGGGTAATGACAGTTGATAAACACGTAACATATCTTCTTTTCTTCAGGCTCCATGGTATTTTAAACTACACATATTTTTGGTCAAAATATCAGTGTCACCTCTAAACTATTTTGCATACTGTTATGTAGTATTAAATGCAGTGATGGCTCACTGATTAAGATTTGCCAAATTCGAACAACCCTCAACCAACTTTGGATTCAACAACTGTGTGATGTCACTGACTTTCACACTTGCTCTATCTCTTGAAGTCAAGTAAACAAATCCATACTTGTTAAATGAATTAAAAATGTCAACTTCATTTATACTAAATGAAAGCATTTGAGAAATTGTGTGATTTAAATTTAATAATTATCGTTCAAAGCTTAACTGACGATATGTAAATTTGTGTTTTCATTAAAGTAAACACAACAATAATTTTATAAAAACAATCATAATCCATGAAAGAACTAATGATTATTATTACATTAATCACCTTTTGTTATATTTGGAAATCGAGAATGGAAAGGCAACCCACAATTTTCACCAACATCAAACTTAACATTTGAATTTGCCGTGAACATTTCATCATTCAATATACCATCTTTTTCATCAATTAATTTAGACTTATTACCATGATCGTTTTCAGTTAATGTCGAGGAAGTTAGTCCAGTAACATTACTATTACTATGTTGATTAGTACTGTTAGTAATTTGTTGACAATGTTGTGATGAATTATTCAATGTAGTAGTAGGGTCTGCAAATGGATTCAGCGCGTCTGATGATGAAAACATGTTTAGTGGATAGGACGAGCGTGTACTTCCTAAAAGTCAAAAAAGGAAAAAAATACACGCGTACACGCATTTACATGTAGAAAACTTCAGGCATTCAATCAATTAGGGAACAAATATAGATTACTTTTTTAGAAAAGTCGGAAAGGTACTATCATTTGGGTCTCGGATATGCACTTCATCTTAACCATGACTCATCAATCGGATGTACTGGCATACCAGTTTTGAACTTCACATAGAGACTCAGACCCTGTACTTTTCAAAAGTTGACACATTTTTCACTGAGTACTTTTTGTCATTTACTTGTTAGATGGGTAAGGTTTACTTTTTTCGAAATGTATGTTGTGGATACCACTTTATCCACAAATTAACATGATGGAAAATTTAAATATTCAGGTAATCCGTTCAGAAATCACATATCCCAATAGTAACTAAGCTTATCACATCAACACCCAAATATTAACAATGCAAAACCTCAAACGCTTGCATAAATAGAGATCTTTCACATGAATTTATTTCAACATATTTGTTCTAGTTAGATTATTTCGACTATTAATTTTTAATTAGTCATTCACAATTTAAATTTCTTTAGTCAATTGAAGCTAGAACACCATGGAAAACCTGGAAGCAATGGACGGCCGTTTCGTCCTACTGTGGAAGTCCTCAGCAGCGCGCATCCACGATCTCGCCCCGCAAGATTCGAACCCAGGACATATCGGTCTCGTGCGCGAACGCTTAACCTCTAAACCACTGATCCGACATCCAACAGTGTTAATGTCAATGTTGAAAACTACCATAATATCCACAAAACCCCTTCTGATACTAGTCATTTACTTTTGATTTTTCCACGGTAACTTTATGTCACTTCTATATAATCTCATAAATAGGACTACATATTTGCGTTAAAAATAGTAACTGCTTATATAAATATGGCACTAGTTTCTCTTGTTTTTCTTTAAAATATACCATGAGATGTACAATGTTCAATTATGTTAATATTTATTTATTTATTTCAAGATCTTTACAAACACGTTTTTATTCATCACAAGTAAAATAAAAATTAAGTTGATTATTCCGGAAAATCTTACTACTATAATTGTTAGTATTATTATTGTTATCATTTGAGAAAGGAAATTTAAGGCATTATTAAATGAACAAAACTATCTAACTGATAATTCAATTCGAAGTGTCTTGGATTACAGCGTTGTTGATATTTTAAATGAATTTGGATTGGTTTTGATTTAGATATGAGCAAACTGTGTGAATTGCCTCGATGTAACCAATGTGATACAATTTCATATAGAACGGATAGAATGCGTCCAACAATCGAATCTAGGACGAGTTGATGCTCAATCCGGGACGCAAACCCAATACCATTCGCTGGACTCAGTAGCCAAGCAGATAACACAATAGCATTTGAAGCAAATGCTGCTGAGTTCAAATCTCAAAGTGGACATCAACTCTGGGATGCATATACATTCAGCCGACGAGTCCCAAATGGGAAGAAACGCGCGTCCTGCATAATACTGTAAGGAGCATTTATTTCGTTCTATATTATTTAATCGATAAATCTGTGTGAACCATTAAGAATTAAATTTAAATATTTATTTATTCAATTATGTAAACTAAGTAATCCAAGCATTTTACAACAAAAAGAGATTGAATTCAATGAGAATGTTTTCTTTGAGTGTATTTTACGTCAGTATAGTAGGTACATGAACAGCGTAAATCAAAAGAACAGACCTAAAATCACATAAAATGACACTATCACATCTATTACAAATATAAAGTGCTAGACGACCTACGATTAGCTACTGGTATCATTATAACATCAGTAAAACCAACAGATTTTATGGGAAAATTTAAACAGAACAACGTTATAGTAGTTTAACACTTACAAAACAAAACAATCATTTATAACTTAGAAAAAACTTAGGTTGTATTTAAGTATTAAAAACTTGTCGAACATTTAAAATAAAATAATAAATACCATAAACTTTTTTATTAAAACATTGAGAGATGGGTTAACTGGTAGAGAAGGAAATGAGTTCAGTTTCATAGATGTACATGCATTGAATTTCTCTGACCTCTTCTTAAATACAAGAACAATTATAGCATTCCGAAGGCTTAAAGAGAAATGAACTTTATAGAAAGCAGTCAAGTTAATGTTGAGCATTTTATCTAAACTATAGATCATAAAAACGCACACAAAATGTTAATGATATCTTAATTAATCATCCTCTAGAAAACTCATTCAACACCATATTGACACTGAAGTTATCTTGCTGAAATCACCGGAATATTTTATAATAGCGTAGTGTTTCCGATAAACTTCCACTTGTAGCTATCCTAGGGTTAATGCTCATAGATACATTCCAAGTGAAAACAGGAGTAAGATAAACACGCTTACTCTTACTTTTTCTCTTTCTTACGGTGGTCGGTTGGATTATAGACACCTCAACATCTCAAGTGAAGCACAGAATACAATGGATGGATCGGAATCATTAGAAGATTTGGACTTCGCAGATAACCTAGCCCACCACCTATCCCATACACACGAACAAATGCAGATGAAGACAACCAATGCAGCAGCAGCAGCCACTGCATCACTAGGTCTCAAAATACTCAAGTGAAAAGGCAACATCGTCAAATACAACACGCACAGCAACAACAAAATCACACATGATGGAAAAACTCTAGAAGAGGTGGGAACTTTCAAGTATCTGAACAGAATCATCGATGAGTGAGGCGGATCGGATGCAGACGTAAAGGCGAGGATTAGCAAAGTAAGGACAGCATTCATACAGTTGAAGAACATATGGAACTCAAAACAACTCTCAACCAATATCAAAGTCAGAATTCTCAATACGAACATCAAGACAGTTCTACCGTACGGAGCTCAGAAGTGAAGAATTACTACAACCATCATCAAAAGGTACAAGTATTTATAAATAATTGTCTACATAAGATACTCAATGTCCGTTGGTCGGATACCATCAGCAACAACCTACAGTGAGAGAGAACAAGCCAGTTTCCAGCTGAGGAGGAAATTAGGAAATGACGATGGAAATGGATAGGACACATATTAGGCAAATCATCAAACTGCATCACGAGGCAAGGACTAACTTGGAATTCTGAACCAAAACTGAAAAGAAAAAGACCAAAGAACACACTATACGGGGAATTCGAAGCAGACATGAAAAGGGTGGATAACAACTGGAAAGGATTGCTCAGGACAGAGTTGCATGGAGAATTCTAATGAGCAGTCTATTCTCCTCTACGAGGGGTAACAGTTGTGAGTACGTTTCCCACACATAACCGTGTCTTATACAAACAGGAAGTATTATAAAAGTTAGATTTAAAAATAGCATAATTATAACTCGAGAGATACTCGGTGTGAAGCTAAGATCTGAAAAATAAATGGGCCATAACACAAGATTAAAACTATCATTTCCATAAGGTTAGCATATTGTCAACTTCGAACAGCTGCCCATTGAGCTAAGCTTACAATGAAAAAAGTTGACAGTATGAACAGCTTGAACACCTTTTCCAGTACTTGAAACCAGTTGATTTTGATTGGAAACCACCCTCAAGCACCAATAACAAATACCAACAGATGATGAAGTAACCATCTGTTAGTCCGCGATTTTATTTGTTTGTTTATTGATTTAGTTTAGGCATTTAGATTTATTCAATTCTTTAAAAATTATTACCATCAACATCATCATTGCCACACATAAACAATAAGTAGCGAACTACTTTAACGATAAACAAATAGATTTCATTCATGAAATTTAGTCAGTAGTGCAACCTATTAGAATGGGAAATATACTTTTTCTCAGTATGCACCATCGTGAGTAAGACTTATTTTGTCGAATGAATACCTAGTTGTTTACAGTACAGAAAAACAAAATTTAAGAGTAGTAGTTAATGAAGTACAACAAATGTGTTGAGAACAATTACATTATTAAGATACAAGGTTAGGATATAACCAAACTGTATTTTCTTACTGTTCACCATGAAAATGATTTAAACACAAACTAAAGGTGAGTTTTTTTCATATCAGTTAACAAACTGAATATATATTCATTTTGAATTATAACGCTATATTAATTAAATTGATTGGTTGAGAACTTACGTTGAACAGCTGATTAGAATAAATTCAGATAGAATTGACTGAACATTCACAGTGAATTAATCTAATCAACTGAAATCAACCGCCATCAATTAGTCCTGAATTGGAATCGATTGAAATGCAACTTTATATACGTAAACATAATTAACGTTATTAAATATTTCATAGTATATGTATTGGTCAATGTTACGATTTCAATGGTTAGATTAAAAAGTAGCGCAATTTTGTGCGATAAATCTTTGAATTTCCCAAATAAACCAAGAGACTAACTAAAATACGTTAATTTTTTGGTAGGAAACAGGTTATCATTATCAAATCTAATTTCATAAGCTTCACGTTATGCATTACAACAAGAAGTGTTGTGTTACTCATAGTGCTTGTTAGTGAATTCAACTTCAGCAAGTAATTCTTTCAATATTCCATAAACGTTAAATGAGTATTCCATTTTTAAAAAAGTTGTGAGAAGAAATATTTTTTTTAAATAAGTACTCCATCATAACTCAATACTAATATATATATATGTATATATATATATATATATATATATATATATATATATATATATATATATATTCTACTAGCTGGTCCAGGTTAGAAGAATATCATTGGGCGTTGAACTATTGATTCTAATGCTTAGCTCAAGCGTATACCGTAATACCTGAAGGCCCTGAGTTTGATCTCTAAAAAAGTCAAGGGTTCGCATTGTTTAGAAGTTATATACTGGAAAAAAATGGTTTTCCAATAATTTGTAGTCTTCAAGGGTACTCTAAGACCAATCTGTGAATAATCAAACCTATAAACCATTAGAATTCCCAAAATATTTAAGTAATATAATCAAAATCACTTGAATCAAAAGAACAACAACAAATTAATGGAATGTAATGAAGGAGAGTTAATGCTAAAAATTGCATTTTATTATACAGATTTTATTCTAATCGGAAAAAGAGAATAAGAGAAAATGAGTTTGTCAAACGATTATATGCCATTTACTCAATATAAATTTTATGAAAACAAATAGTGTAGGTCAAATAGCATGGGAGAAAACATTCTCACATAGCTTATGCCAATTGAATACTAGTCCAGACAATTTGGAAATTTGCAAAAGTAACACATGAGAAAATTGGTTGTGTAAACGTGCTTTTTCAGAATAAATATATATATATATATATATATATATATATATATATATATATATATATATATATATATATATATATATATATATATCATTGCCTAAGTGAGCTCAGATGTTTAGACAAAACAAACACGAAAATATTTGCAGAATACAACAAATTCCTCGTATTCGCTTCAGCTACATACGAACTAAGCCTATTAATGGTAAAAGTATATTTTAGGGTAGAACCAATCAGGATTGAGAATGTATCAAATGCGAAATACTTTCTCCTTAGGTTGAATTATTAAGCATATCGATACTACCTTTACATACTACTCATCAACCTTTATTTCCGAAACAAACACTAACTTGGTCGCCCTATATTTTATGGATGGATTAATCAGATACGATCTCTTGCATGTTTGAGTGAAATTCATTCATCCATATCGCTGAGTTATAGCTGTTTAGTTCGTAATCAAAGAGGAAATGCACGCATTCTATTGCAAACATTTACGACCCATTTCACCCAACGACTATAACCACTGGTTACGACAATCATACAGACCCCAACCAGGTAGTCTGCACCTACCAACATGATTCAATCCAATATTCAGTATCTTCATAGACTGATACCATGTTTTGGTTTGGATGTTCTTATCTTTGTTCTAACTTACTCCTACATCAGTCAGCATTACGCGTCGAAGTATTTGGTGTATAGATGTACATTATTCATGTTCTAATGATTTCATTCAGTCTGGGCAACTGGGTAGTATCACAGTCCACACATAAACCAAGTGACTTGTGTGGCGCATATGTATTCGGTGCTCCTTCGTACCAATATTTATGTGTTCCAATAAATAAATAAATAAATAAATAAATGCGATAAAGATGCACTATGTCAATCGATTTGACATATATACCTAGTGCTCTGCATCTAACCTCATGATTGCTAGCTCAATAATCCCAAAATATAAAAACTATCATCGTTCCAGTTTCCTGGATTGAGGATTGTTATATTTAAAAAAAGAATAAGTGAATGATAACCGATGGAAATTATCTATGGACCATTATTACATACATTCTTTTGGATGGCTATATTATGTGTATATTCATATTCTCTTTCTCTCTCTCCTATATATATATATATATTCCTTTTGTCATAAGCTTTTATTTGATCTGTTGACTACTAATGTACGATTTTCTATTCTTAGGGTTATTCCCACAATTACAGCCACTCTTTGTCTTCATTCTGTATAATTGCTTTTTTTATTTTATGGTATAACGTGGTCTGATTTGATTGTATATAAACCAAATAAGTCTGAAATATATGATTCATACAGTGGAAGCTGATAGTGTGTTCCAGACTCGAACAGACTGAGCTAGGCAAAAAGAATTAATAAGGACTCTGAGTTCACCATAAGCTACTCGCACTGGTTAACGCATCATTGGTTTGGCACAGTTCTAAGGTCGTATGAGTCGGTGTTCTAATTGGCGATCATACTACGTGATATATTAGCAGGTCTGTATGACATAACAGGACGAATCATTGTCTCATCTTTTTCAAAAAATAGTCTCACTGACTACCGAATTTCCAATACCTGGTTCTTTGATAAATTTAAAAAGTTATTTACTGTTGCCTATCACCGCCGACTTCCCCAATTTTTTGGCTTCGATTGCCCACGGTTGCTCGCAACGATTGGATGAACTTTTTATAAGTTCTAGTTTAAGATTCTTTTGATGCTCCTTGACAACTACTACAAGTGCTTATAGATCAAGAATTAATGTGTTACGTTTTAAGAAATTCCACACAAGCAAAATCGGCAGCTGACACTGTTTATAGATGTCTTTCAATATTGTCTGGTTTTTAGGACATAACAATCTATCACTCATAAATTTATAAATAACTGCAAACTGTATAAGGCTTTTTGAAAGGATTTAACAACGACTGATTTCAGCTATCGAACAATATTTAACCAAGAACAACAACCAATAATGACGATAAGAATTATAATAAGGACTCTTTTTTAAGCAGACGTTTTCAGTACAATTAATTGAAACGGAAAACATGACAAGAAACATTAACCAAATATGACTGGGAAGAAACCAGTGAATTGAGTTAGTAACAAAGAGAAAATCCAGTAGATTGCAACTTACAGAACGAAACGGTAAATAAGCCCAATTTTGCCTATAAGATTTGTTTTAAACTATCAATTGTTGAAGGGATTCAATCAGAAACTAATCAAACCTGTTAGAAGTCAGTGTTATATGCTACAATAGGCAAACTAGGGTTATTTCAGCATAAAAAGAGCAAAGCGAAAAACTGATAGTGAGTAAAACGAAAATAAGAGTAAAACAATAAACTATGTTAGAAGATGGCTGGCAATTAAAATTTGATGTTACATTACTTAGTTCTCCCTAGTTAAGTAAACGTGATGAAAACGTACTTGTACATAAAAATCAGTTATTTAGAGAATATGTAGAGATTTTTAGCAAAACCGTAACTAAAACTGGCAGCTTTTGTATAATATACATACAGCATTAAAAATATATAAGCGAAAGGTTTAGATTATGTTAGGACACAGCAACAAAGAGTATCAAGTTGAGCGAGATAACAGTAATAATAACGATAGAACACTAGAGAAATCGGCTGCTTACCATAACGGTCGTCTTGAGATTTATGAATTGGATGATAACTCATTGTTTAAATTAATAACTATTATATAATATGTAACATAAAATGAGATAAAGTAGAATATCCAAGTGTTGGTTTTTAACACATGTAAAATAAGAAGTGTAAAATATGCCACCTTGATTGGTGTTGACAACAGAAACATATATAAATATTAACTGATTGGTATAATTCAGTTAACAATCACATATTTATGTACTTGGCTTTAAATCAAGTAAATTATGTGTGAGGACTAGTGATACTGCCCGTCTTTTTAAACCGAAATACACAGAATTGAACTCGAACTTGTGGCCTAGAAGTTAAAAGCTGAATGCCCTAACCCTACGCAAATATTTGCCTTTTTGTTTATTTTCTTTCTGAAACTAAACTTAGACAAGCGAAAGGAAGTGTCATTGTCAAAATTAACAGATAACAGGATTTGAGTATAGTTGGGTAGTGGATAACAGTGGAATCCATAGAGTGTAATTTATGCTAGATGGGTGACTTGTCAGCTGGATGTGCTTATAATATCAACAACGGGAAGACGCACATATTTATGAATAAGATAAAAAGATTAGTGCAAATTCACAAAATGAAGTGTTACATTAACAATGTCTGATGTAACTTTAAGAAAGAATCCATGATTTTGATCACATCAAGAGTTCAAAACAAGGTCAGTTGTGATAATAAAAAAATATTATAAAACTAATAATATATGGTCCATGACCATCTCTTAAGAGAGATACACAACGAGATGGATTGTGAATAACAATATACAATAGCAGGTAACTTATAGATTTTAGTTCCAATACAAATTACCCACCAAATTTAGAAGAGTTTAAACAACAATAAAGGACAAGCAGAATTTAAAATCACGGAAATTGTCAGATTTAAATACTTACTTTTTTAGGACGATTCACGTAAATGATATAAGATACGTTTATTAAAGACTAAATAAAATTACTATTGTCGTATAAACACCTAAAATCAGTTTCCCTGTCCCAACTTCTAAGCAACAATAGGTAAAACTTATAGATTATGAAAGGAAAACATAAGTTACTCATTTAACTGAACTGATGGAAAAAACAAATTGCAATCAACGAAAGTCTATTTCAAAGTTCAATTAAATACTGTTCAATTTAGTAATGAAAAACAGTGCATGGGAACAATAATATATTATTTTTCAAACAAAAATGAACGCACCTTAGTTTTAAATCCTCAATTTCAAAAGTGACCAAATGATGCTAATCGTTACAGCACCATTAAATGATAGGAAAGATATTATTCGCCTTTATCTAAAAGTGTTCATTGAGAAAAAAATGCAACCCATGTTGTAAGTTCTCAAAGAAAATAAATTAATCAAAAAGGTGATATCGATTTTATATCAAAAGTCGAAATCACAGAACATTATTCAATCAGTGGTCATATGTATTAAAATTATTTAAAGGTATTTTAATCACAATTGATTGATCACTGGGTGGTGATCAATGTCATGCTTGTCTAGTCCTTATTAGTGCAGATCGAATGCTATCGATCATGTTGCAATGTGGCCACCAGTCTAGGTGACTCGACACTGCGGGCACTATGTATTGAGATTAGATGACTGTTGACTACCTCCAACCACCATCTAATCTCAAGGTATTTAAAAAAAAACAGAAGACAGTAGAACATCAAGCTAAACGTCACGTTTAAGGGCTAACAAAATTACTATGTTTACTTAATTGAAATGGATTGAAAGTATAAAAATTGAACTACGCTGTGAGATCGGTTTTTTTCAGATAATATTTTACAAACAAACCCAGTTAATTTGTAATTATCAAAAATGCATAGTAGTTTATGTAGATTTACTTCTTGATCAAAAAAAAATACCTTCAGTCCTTCAAAAATAAAGGTTAACGAATGATATAAATGGGGATTGAATTATACTATGTAAAACATAAGCAACAAGTTATGAATCTAGATAATTTAAAAGAAAGAAACACTATTTGGAAGTTCAGCATAATAAGGTATTTTACAAAAAATCCAGGAACAATTCTACATCTAACAAAGAGTCTGAACTCAGGAACACTCATGACAGCTCATTGTGCAAAGCTGGGATGTCCCACAAAAATTAAAAAGATTTTAGCGTGAAGCACAAAATATCACCCAGCAGTAGGTACATAATGCAATTTTTGAAGATCCTATAGAAAAAGGAAAGTTTTACATTTCTATTAATTATGATCAACTGTAAGTAATATCGCCCATACCATAAATAAAAGTGGCACCTATATATGGGTTACAAAAGGCATGAAATACATCAGTTATTAAACATTTCCAACCCTAATGAGTAATGTGAAGTACTTTCCTTTTAAAAGTTTTCCACTAGAGATTTATGTAAGCATTTCATATTGCTAAGTGATAGTATGGCGGCGGCTTAGTGGTCGTAGTGTTTGAATTTTAGCCACTAATTCGCAAGTCCGAACGCCTCTCCATCTAATTTAATTTCGGCGACCAGGTATTATCCCTAGCCCTCATACTTAAAGTGTGGCTCGAAGCCAAGTACACTTATCTATACCTGGTAAATGAGTTAAAAACAATCGCTTGCTAACGCAATTTTGGCATCAAGTTCTCAAGTAAACAAACCATAGGACTTAATATTTCTTAACATTTATTCAAAAAATATAATCAGTATATCAAATTTGGCTAACTGACTAAAACAACAAAGAACGGTGGTAAGTAGTACTGCATTGAAACAAGTGGAGTAACAAAATAAATAAGAAAAACCGAAGTATATAATTGAAAAAGACAGAAGTCATGACACAAGTTTCAGAAGTTTGAGAAGAATAGTAGACTTAACAAGTTTTAAAAACTAATAAACAATTGATTTAATGTGTACAAAACTAACATTAATTCTCATTAACATGCCATCAATCACTCCAACTTTGTATATGACACTATTTAGAACATAGGTTCAGACTAACAAGCAAAAACAACTAATGAACATTATATTTTGATACAAAACAGTGTTATTACCAACATACACACTGTTACAATCAACGCATTATGTAGTGAATAGAGTGGGTCGGGTTAAAAAGGTCGAAGAGGTAGCATAATAAATCGTAAGCTTTTTATTATTATTGTCATTATTATTATTATTAAGGCAGTTCCAACAGGTCTGAACGTGTCCACCTCACTAAATAATTAACTCATTACTTTTTTCATCGCTTATTGGCTCATCACTTCGAATGATAAAGCTAAATTAATGAATGGATGATACAATCCAACAAATCCCATTGTTTGGTTAATTATCGCAATGATTTTTTTTAAAAATCATGCTGTAAGTCATTTCTTTTAAAAAAAAGTGATAAATAACCCCAACCAATAGTAACATTACATAACATTAAGAAACATACAACATTCAGTCAAACAGAAATAGTAAAAAGTAACAAATATATGTTGAAATAGTTTTTTTTTTAAGTTTCTTCTTCATTAACAACGCGTATAATAAAAGGCATTTATTATAAATTACAAATTGTAAAAATTATTATTCACAGTGTAAAAAAAAGAATACGTCATGTTATGTATAATATATACATATACAATAAAGATGACAAAATTACTTATTATTAAACCTATAATTTACAATTAACTGCAATAGATTTGCGGACTTCTTTTTTTGTTTGTTTTACGTACAGATGGAAACAATAAAGAGTAAAACAAACAAATAAAAAATCAATTATACGATGGTGTTGTTTTTTCCACATAATCTACTGTAATACTGTGGTTGTTGTACATATATCATAGTGTTATCTATCGATGAAGGACATGGAAATAAAATCAACACAGTGGTAAATATGAATTTAAAAAAGAAACGAAAAAAAACAAAAAAGGAAAATAATTTTTTTTGAAAGATAGAAATAAAGGTAACTTAATTCATTTTAGTAAATCATTCTGCTGTAACGATATTGCAGTGGCATCGGTTCGACCTATAAATGAAAAAAAGCAAAAGATGTATTAAGAGAAAAATAACTATATGAAACAATAAAGATGGATTACAAGAATTATGAGAATTCTATAGGTTGTGTTCGTCAGAAATCGACTTCAGTTGGAGTATCATTGAAAACTAGGGAGCATTGAAATAGCCATTTCGTCCTAGCAAGGGACTTCTTAGCAGTGAGCATCCGGAATTCCCCTTTTACCTCATCCTTCGTAAACACATATACAACCAAAACTAGGAACTTTAGGTTTTGGAATATGCACGAGATTCAATGATAAAAAGTTTTAACTTTAATTAATAGTTTGGTGCAATTATTAAGATAGCTTTAATGAACATTAACACTTACATCATTCCAATAAACAACACGAACAAATTTCAATACATGATCGCGACCAAGAAAAGTACCATCTTCATTATTTTGTATAAAAATATCAATCTACATATATTCAATAAAAATAGAACAAGGAAAGAAAGAAACAGTGAAGACTGTAACAAAAACAATGTTAAACTAGAGGAATAAACATGCGAATAAAATGATTAAATTTAGTGTATACCGAGAATGGGGAAGACCATATTACGATTTTATTTATTTGAACACATATATATTGGTACAGGAGTGCGCCAAATATGTATGCGCCACACAAAACAATGAGAATTTAAGAAGAAAAAGAAAAAAGTGGGGAACGTAAAAAAAATATAAAAAAACAATAACGAAGAGATTGGTGTAAGGTAGTGTAATAATAATAGTAATAGTAGGGGAACAGAAGGGTACAATCAGAAGAAATCTTTCAGTTAAGGAAGATACAACCACGTTTTATGAAGAAAGTAAAAGAAGGTTACAGCATGATCGCGATTGGCTTCTATTCTGAGCCATATCTGATAACATCTCTAGCCACTGTGTTGTACCATCTCTCAGACCCCAACCAGGGAGTCGTGAAGGACCGACACAAGCCAGCCCTTTGCAGCTTTTCTTTCATACCACGACACCATGTCATATACTGACTACCTTTTTGCTTTCTCCAACCAGTCCCAGAGTCAGCCAATAATGCACAAATAATGCATATTACGATACGTGGAATGTTTAGGTTATATGCTTATTATACTGTCTACCAATTAACTGTGACCTTTAAAAAAAATAATAACGGTACTAATGAATTAGTGCAAAACGGTGGAATGTCCCCTTATAGTTTAAACATCTAATGTTTGGACACTAGAAATACTATGATTAATCCTTTAACAATTTGTATTGCAGATTATAGCATGGAATTTCAGTAGACGAACATATTTGACAAAAAGCAATGAGACGAAACCAAAACTCTTTAGGTTTTTATGTAGCACCACATGGAATCATGACAGTGTTTCTCAATGATAGAGAAATATAAATTGAAGAGACAGTTGCCATTTTATCCTCAAACTAATTATGACCAACCGAGATTGCATTCATGTATTGTGTTCGTTTCTTGGTTTCCATAAATTATCCCTTTAAACACTATCTACATTTTATTTCTGTCAATTTGACTTAAGGTATTTTTACGTATTGTCCGTGAACCATCATTTTGTTGTTGCATAGTTCCTGGGTAATTACTATTTTATATTAACAACAATTTCTGTACGAACTCCTATTTCAATTCCGGGACCTTCTTTTTTAATGTTTTTAAGCACACACCTCTTCGAAGTGTACTGTAAAACTTTTCATTCGGTTATCACAATTTATTAAAATTCATTGCGTAGTAGGTCAGTTTAGCTTATCAAGAAAACATGTATGCTCAGAAATTATGGAGATTTGAAGCTCAAATGGATGGTTTTGTTGTTGTTGTACTCTCTGAGTTGAACGAAGACAGCTTCGCAATTAAATCGTTCGCGTGATTTTGATTTTCCAGGCTTGTTCTATTAAACATCATGACTATATTGAATATTTTCATATATTTAACAATAAATCCCCTTAAAGAGTAGTTGTTTTTACCTAGACTACTACACCAACAGTTTGCATCACAAATCTGACGAAACACCCATTGCTTCCAGGTTTTCAATGGTGATCCAACGTTGATCCATTTAGGATCTCAATCAAAACTCAATCTCCACAACCCTATACCCATAATTATCATGTGCTCACTAGTGACTAGCTTCAAGATGGATTTCCTGAAGTTCTATTGAAAAGTCGTGACAACTTGAATTCCACTGTCTGTTCAGAGGCAGTTAATCACTGAAGACAATGAAACAGTCACACAATATCGTGGATTGGTTGAAGATAGACATTAACACCGTTGGATGCCGACTCAGTAATCTAGGGGTTAAGAGTTCGTGCGCCAGACCGGAGGTCCTAGGTATGAACCCCACGTGCGGGATCGTAGATGCGCACTGCTGAGGAGACCCATACTATAACGAAACAGCAATCCAGTGCTTTCAGGTTTCTAATGGTGGTCTAACATTGATCCATTCATGATCTCAACCAAAGCTGATACAATAACAATCACTTATATCCTACCCAATGTCCCAACAAGAATATTCTTAATTGAGATCATGGACCAATTAATGTTAGACCACAATTGAAAACCTAGAAGCGCTGGACGGCCGCCTTGTCCTAGTATGGGACTCCTCAGACGTGCGCATCCACGATCCCAAACGTGGGAATCCAACCTAGGACCTTCGATCTCGCACGCGAACGCCTAATCCCTAGATAACTCAGCAATCTCCATAACCCTATACTGATGATAACATATTTGCCAAGAAATAAAAAATCCATTTAAGCTTAGCTCCCGAAATCGACATTGTATGGAACAATAGTCTAGATAAAGTTTTGATTTTATTAGTTTTTCGTATGTAGGTATTCACGAAATAAAACACTATTTCGAACTGCGTTGATATTAAGCTATCATAACACAGCTCATCATTATGAACCGCCGTTTTTTAAAAACTGCACATTGATCCCGAACGTAGGTATTATTTTGATGTGATGGTCAGGCTTCCTTATCACGACTCAACTGAGACTTATTGGCTAACACTTGTTTCTTCAAATATTAACATGGCAGGAATGCCAGTTGGAGAGAAGCAACTTAAGGTTGAAGGGCGAGGTTGTGCTGCTGACACTACTGGAGTATGGTGGCAGTAAGCTGTTTTCCTCAAACACCATCTCAAGCGATCCTGTCTCACAATGTAAGGAGGAATACAAAAGTTGGCCATAAAAAAGCACACTTCACCTTACCCCAAGGATTTCCGTCGACGGCAGTTAGGCCTCAAAAGTACAAAACTAACTAATCTACAACTCCCTACACAAAGGCCTTGTAACCGGCCACAAATAATAGTCTCTTGGGCAGTGCAATCATACTACCAGGACCTCAAGATCACTCATAACCCAGCTTCCTTTTCATGAACCTCAAAAAAATATTCTTCGAAGACATGAGAAACCCGTAATCGACAACCCACCACATACCTCTAACTGACTGATACATCTATTTATCGAATTTGAAATTTCTTCAATAGGATAAAAACTAATCATTTTTTCAGATTGTGTACAATGAAATGCAAATAAATGAAAATATACAGCCTAATAACTAAAAGAATACGTCTTCGTTAGAATGTTCAATTCAAATACTGAAACATCAAAATTTTAATGAGGGAGAAAAAATCACTTGACCTACTTCATGAAACTTAGATATATCATGAAGAACTTGTTGGGCAACATATTTTCGTAAGTGTGTCACTGTAGCCCTCGATGAAAGTCGTAAATATTTCTCAGTTAATGGTTCCAGATTATCGGATCCCGGTTCAAGTTGTATATTGACTTGTTCATCTTTACGATGATAATCCGAATCAAAATTGGAAGTTAATCCGTCAGAATCAGATGGAACTGCACCTGTGATATTCTCTTTACTGACTATTACATGAGTTTCTTTGCCCAAGTCTGTTGAATTTTCATTGAAATAATAACAAACAAATTCGGAAACATCAAATATCGTTGGTACAAAAATTGATCTATTCAAAAATATCCAGTCAGTCAGTCAGCTACAACGTAGGACCAGGCACATATGTGCATCGGTCCAGGTTGCCATACCGCATTAGCACAACAAGATGAACACCGGATTCATAGCAGTGGTTATGTCAAAGGTGGTAATAAATAAGAGGAAGATTGCATATAGAGATATAGTACAAGAAGAAAGAATTGGTTCGTAGAAAGAAAGATATGAAGCGATTTTAATATCTTAGTTTGAGGGAAGACAGGGAGTGTATACACCTACGCCATTGTGGTCGATTCTGAGCCATGTCACCAAGAGTCTCCAACCATTGGTTACGATAGTCACGCGGACCCCAACCAAGTAGTCTGCATCTACCAACATGGCTCAGACTACAAGTTAGTGACTTCAAGCACTGATGCCACGTTTTGGTTTGGCCGCCCAAAAAAATATCCAACGAGCAATGACTGGAATAGTGTAATTAACAAGCTTGATATAACCTACAGAATTCTCAAAATATGTTTAGGACTCATACACTACTTATCAGCAGTTATCAGACTGTAAACATTTAGATCAATTTAAGTTACTCTGTAATGTTAATGTTATCCTTAGTAACCTAAGTGCCTAGATTTGAATTGTTATACAACTTCAAACCAACCATATCTATAATTATTCAATCCATTTACATACTAAACTTTTATATGTCATGTGTGGTTTACATCCTTGCAATTTACAAGAGTCAAACATAAGTGTATGAGTACAGATATTCTGTGAGTTACCCTATACATAATCTATCAAGTCCTTTACTTGAATTATGATGAAATCAGTGGATTGGTTAGATATTATAATTACAAGTTGATTCCTAAAGTAGAAACACCAAAAAGCTTCTAGCCGAAACTAGTGCTACAAAAACGAATATAAAATCTATTTCCATGAAAGTACAACTGTCATATTGCACGAAAATATGTAAACACAACTAGTATATTAATGCAGTATTCGGCTTTTTTGATCACATATACTGATTTGAGCTATGTAAACGTAGTGGGTCAAACCAGTCTGGTACACTGACTTATATCGATTCTATCAGCTAAAACTATTAAACCCTCTGGTTCTAGAGTGTGGTACGTCATACCAAAAGCAGTAAAACTAGAAATAGTGATTAACATAGGATGGGAAATTAATTTCTCATACGGTATAGATCCAATTAATACTGTTAAGTATTCTGAGTGTGGCTTGTGGTGTTAGTTCCCAGACTAATATTTTTACTATAAGAAACTGTTCCTTAAATTACACACCCAATCGAATCCACCTTAATACCAGTGCCAATAATAAAGTAACTAAGGATACGAAGAACAATGGAAAGACAAATGAAAGCTACACGTAAGTAACATTGTATGAACGTCCGCTGAGACCTGATAACATTTGCACCCAAACAATTAACGATTCTGAGGAAACACTACACTGAGTAAGAATGGACTACATGATTAGGAAGGTGGAAATGGTTATCATAGACTATATAGTAAATCATCAACTAAAATTTCCCGTTTTCCTCAGTCGAATAAATCAGCCAAAGTGACTTAACGGGTATATCATGACACATTTAATTTATTCATAAATTACTGTACTAATATTACCTTCTGAGGGAGGTGGAGTTTTTCCAAGAGATCTATAGAAGACCTCACGACGTTGTCTCTCTTCTACAAAAAGTTTTGTTAAATAAGGCGAACAGCACACTTACTTTGTTTTAAATCTGGTACAACTTTATAAACAATATCTTGAAGAGTACGATCAAAACTATTATCATATGAAAATAGAAAACATAAAACTATTAAGTGAAACAAACCTCATATAATTTAATGGGTGACTTTGATGGATGAGAATCCCGCAAACAGGACATTCGCGTTTTTCTTCTGAATACTTAACTATACAAGATTTACAGACTAAAAAATTTAATGTATATTACAAGGCAAGAAATATCCCACTTACATGGGTGAAGACATTCAGTTATCGAAACAGCATCAATTAAATAACCTTTACATAATTTACATGTTATAAATTCATTCAGATCGGATAACTGAATAGCAGGTAGTTCATCCATCTACTCATACATGTATGTATACTATGTAGTAAACAGTGATAAGACATAGGCCCATTTCGGCTTAGACACTGAAAAATAACCACAAAGGAAATAGATGAATATCAAGTTATGAAACGTAAACATAGGTGCTTGACAACGGAATAAATCGCAAGATAAAACTGATTACCATTCATCCAATGAAAATGAACACATAATTATATCTGATTCAGAATTACCAGCAAGTTAAAAGAAAGTAAATTTTCTATCTTTTTAAATGGAAAACCTTGATGACTAGCAACCAAAATACTAAAAAATGAATGTTTATACGCACGCATTTGAAGTTCTTACCTGATATGATATAGAGCACAAGCCAGAAAAACGTTTCGGAAATAGTTGAGACTTGATAACCATATTCATAACCAAAGTGAAAGACAAGTGGGTTTTCCAGTGTCCCAGCTCGACGAAAAGACAACGGTGACCATCTGTTGCAACCATCTTCAGACAACTGTTTATCCTTAGCAAGGACCAACTTTAAGCGTAAAGGGAGATATCATATGAGAAGGCGTCCGAATTTCAGCCACAAAGTCCCAGGACCGAACCCTGCTTCACATTTATTTATTTATTTGAACACATAAATATTGGTACTTTGCCCCCGAATGCCCTGGTACGGCCGAGAGTGGGGAGAGTCCGCTCTCCCTCTCGAAATACTCTCACACGGCCGCGCGTATACAGCCTCTGCCAGGGAAGTCCTACTCATTGCCTTCTCGTGGCGGGGGTGTTGTTTACGAAAATGAGAGGACGAAAAGCGAATGTCCGGCGCTTTAACCGGATCACAAACCAATGGTGCACATGGGCTCCAGTATCCTGCGGGAACAAATGGCGTATGAACCAATCTTGGTCACCGGCTACCATGGGATTGCATCTCCTTACGATGCTCCACTGCCTTGTGGGTTAGACCTTTAGGTCAAAGGCTCGGGGAGTGGCCCCCTAAGATAACCACCTGCTTCGGTTTGGGCACCCGGGCAGTATCACAGCCCACACACAAACGATGAACTCTATGTCTATGGCAACTGCTTTTCTCGCTCCGAAAAACAATCAGTCGATTCAAATAATTATCATTACTATTATTGTCATTATTATTATTATTATTATATTATTATTATTATTTTCCACATTATTCACCCTCTTTTATACTTATACAGCGGCTCGTCTTTGGTGGAAATCCGACTGTATCTAAACGTTCTCGAGTCACTGTCCGGTTGAAAATTGTATGTTACCACCGAATATGAGTACTGAAGCAGTTTTTCTGAAACCACGTGCACCATTCAAACTGGCTGCCTTCAACGTTCGCACATTTATGCAGGTCGGACAACAGATAGGGCTGGCTATGTCTTTGGAAAGTCTTAATATTGATGTTTGTTGTCTATCCGAGACCCGTATTCAAGACTCTGGCGAAGTACTACAAATTCGATCTCCATCTGTCGCTTCGAAAAGCTTGTTTTACGTGCGCTTATCCGGGGACCCTGTGGCATCTTCGTCTGGTCTTGCTGGCGTTGGTGTCGCACTAAGCGCTAGAGCTGAGGCAGCACTAGTCGATTGGATCCCCATTAACAGTCGGTTATGTGCTGTTAGATTAGAAAGTTCCATCAAAGTGAGAAGAAATCGGCGTGAGAAACGATGTCTTTTCGTCATCTCCGCCTATGCCCCGACAGATTGCAGCCCGGATGCAATCAAGGATGAGTTTTACCACCAGTTATCAGTTCTTCTCCAGAAAGTGCGTTCGACAGATATTGTAGTACTAGCCGGAGACTTGAATGCTCAGGTCGGGCGTCTAGGCACAGAAGAGAGTCGTTTAGGTGGCCGATGGGGACTCGTTGGTCGCAGGTCAGATAACGGGGACCGTCTACTGCAACTGTGCACAGACCACAACCTGTTTCTGGCTAGCACTAACTTTCGGCACAGTCATCGCCGATGTGCCACCTGGCGTCCTCCCTCTGCATCTCAAGCCTGGACTCAGATTGATCACATCGCGATCAGCTACCGCTGGCGTGGTTGTGTACAAGACTGCCGCTCCTTTTGGAGTACCTATCTGGACTCTGACCATGCCTTGGTCTGCGCCAATCTTGCCTTACTTTTCAGTGGACAACGAAGTGAACGAAGTGACCCCACCAACGGATTGATGTTAGCAAGCTGGTTGCAACTTCTGTTGCAAGTAAGTATCGAACCGAGCTAGCCTCTAGGCTAGCTACCACTCCACCGAAAAGTATAGATGAGCATTGGTTGCAATTGCATGACGCCATGAAAATGGCGGGAACAGTCAGTTGTGGGTTTGCGAAACGTCCCGCTTTTAAGCACTGGGTTTCTTCTGGTTCCTTACAACTCATTGAAGCCCGTCGGTCTACTCCGGGTGACCGTGAGTTTGACCATAAACGAAGGATGTTACGTAAGGAAATTGGGCAAAGCTTGCGTAAGGACCGAGAAGCCTGGTGGTCGAAGCGTGCTAATGAGCTGGAAGCAGCAGCTGCATCTGGTAACTACCGGAAGCTCTTCCAGCTCATCCGAGCCACTGGCAGCAAGAAGTCTGGTGTGAGTGAAACAATCTGCGAGGATGATGGGATGCCAATCACTAACATCCATCGACGTCTTGGACGATGGGCAGAATTTTTCGAAGGGCAGTTCAACTGGCCTGCTGCTCCGGCAACATCGGTCAGACTGTCCTGCCCTCCATGGCCGGTGACGACTGATCCACCAAACGAGGAGGAAGTCCGCAAGGAACTCCAACTCTTGAAGCGTTACAAATCACCTGGCCCAGATGACTTACCTCCGGCTCTTTTTAAAGATGGTGGTGACTTTTTGACTAAGGAATTGACGACGTTGTTTACAAAGGTTTGGGAACTAGAGTGTGTACCAACGTCATGGAATGAGTCGATAGTTGTCCCTATCTTTAAAAAGGGTTCACGTCGTTCCTGTAACAACTATCGGGGGATAAGTCTACTTCCGATTGCGTCCAAGCTATTGGCTTCCGTCATACTTCGTAGGTTGTTCAAAACCCGAGAAAGATTGACTCGCGAGGAGCAGGCTGGGTTTCGTTCTGGTCGAGGATGTATTGATCATATCTTCACCCTCCGCCAAATGTTAGAACACCGCCATACTTATCAAAGGCCAACAATCGTAGTGTTTCTTGACATCAGGGCTGCCTTCGATTCGTTGGACAGGACTGTTCTCTGGGATTGTCTATTGAAGAAGGGTGTGCCTGAGAAGTTTATTAACATCCTAAAAGCCCTATATAAAAACACCTCAGGCAGAGTGAGGGCATACAACCACCTCTCTCCATTGTTCCATTCGAGCAGTGGGGTTAGGCAGGGTTGCCCAATCTCACCATTCCTCTTCAACTTTGCCATCGATGACATTCTGGAAACAGCTCTGATGAATGTAAGTAATGGTGGTGTGGATCTGTTGCCTGGAGAAAGACTTCTCGACCTTGAGTATGCGGACGATATTGTCTTACTGTGCGATAATGCCCAAGGCATGCAATCCGCACTTAATCAGTTGGCAATCAGTGTCCGTAGGTATGGTATGTGCTTTGCACCTTCGAAGTGCAAAGTACTTCTACAAGACTGGCAGGATTCCAATCCTGTACTCACCCTGGATGGTGAGCAGATAGACGTAGTTGAGAAGTTCGTGTATCTGGGTAGCTGCATAAGTGCTGGTGGGGGTGTGAGTGATGAGATCAATGCACGTATAGTGAAAGCCAGAGCGGCTTATGCCAATCTGGGCCACCTTTGGCGCCTTCGTGATGTTAGTCTGGCTGTAAAAGGTCGGATCTACAACGCGTCGGTGAGAGCAGTTTTGCTCTATGCTTGTGAAACCTGGCCTCTCCGAGTTGAGGACGTTAGACGACTCTCTGTGTTCGATCATCGCTGTCTCCGAAGGATTGCTGACATTCAGTGGCAACACCATGTCAGTAATGCAGAGGTTCGGCATCGTGTGTTCGGGCACAGAGATGATAATTCAATTGGTGTCACCATCTTGAAACACCGACTTCGGTGGCTTGGACATGTTCTCCGAATGTCGTCCCAGAGAATTCCACGTCGTGCATTATTTGCCGACTCTGGGACTGGTTGGAAGAAGCGGAGAGGTGGTCAGTGCATGACATGGTGTCGTGGCATGAAAGAAAGCTGCAAAGGACTGGCTTGTGTTGGTCCTTCACGACTCCCTGGTTGGGGTCTGAGAGATGGTGCTACACAGTGGCTAGAGACGTTATCAGATATGGCTCAGAATAGAAGCCAGTGGCGATCCTGCTGTAACCTTCTTTTACTTTCTTCATAAAAAGTGGTTGTGTCTCCCTTACCTGAAAGATTTCTTCCGATTGTACCTTTGCGTTCCCTGATTACTAGCACATTACCTTACACCAATCTCTTCGTTATTGTTCTCTCTTTTTTTTGTTGCGCTCCTTAGCTTTTTTTTCTTTGTATTCCTCTCGAATTTTCATTGTTTTGTGTGGCGCATATATATTGGCGCTCTCTTGTACCAATATTCATGTGTCCAAATAAAATAAATAAATAAATAAACATATGAGCCACGCAAATCATTCGATTTGTGTGGTGAGGCTGGGATGCTGCCCGGGTGCCCAAATTGAAGCAGGTGGTTTTCTTGAGGGGCCACACTCGGAGCCTTCGACCTAAAGGTCTGATCCACAAGACTGTGGAGCAACGTAAGGAGATGCAGTCAAATAGTAGCAGGTGACCAACGATTGGTTCATACGCCATTTTCCCCTCAAGATAATGGAGCACATGTGCACCATTGGTTTGGAATCAGGGTTTTCCAACTCCCCTAGGAGGACCCTCTGTGTCCACCAACCCGGTTAAAGCGCCAGAGTTTCGCTTTGCGTCCTCTCGATTTTGTGAAAAACAGCCCGCTGCGAGAAGGCAGTCAGTAGAACTTCCCTGGCAGTGGTTGTATGCACGTGCCTATATGAGAGCATTTCGAGAGGGAGAGCTGACTCTCCCCACTCTCGGCCATACCAGAGCATTTGGGTGTACAGAACGGAATAAAAGCCACAGGAGCATGTCTTTCTATTGGATTGCATCTCAAAGCATACCACCGCAATATTTTATCTTGCTGCATTTCCTGTCTCACTATTTATTAAAATTCCACTAAATACTCCTAACCATTAGTCTCCCCTCATCTTAAGTATATCACTACGTGCAATGCTAACCGGTGTAGGGGATGGTTGGAAGAAAGTTAGGGGCGGCCAAACCAAAACGTGGCATCAGTGCCTGAAGTCACTAACTTCTAGTCTGAGCCATGTTGGTAGATGCAGACTACTTGGTTGGGGTCCGCGTGACTTTCGTAACCAATGGTTGGAGACCCTTGGTGACATGGCTCAGAATCGATCACAATGGCGTCGGTGTATACACTCTCTGTCTTCTCTTAAACTAAGAGATTAAGATCACTTCACATCTTTCTTTCTACGAACTAATTCTTTCTTCCTATACTATATCCTTATTGCAATCTTTCTCTTATATATTACCACCTTTGACCTAACCACTCCTATGAATCCAGTGTTCATCTTGCTGTGCTAACGAGGTATGGCAACCTGGGCCGATGCATACATGTGCCTGGTC